TTCTTCGTGATTAAGGAAACTTATAGACAACGACAGAGATATACAAATGAAAATCTTAAAAGAAAATATATTACTTTTATCTACATTATATATATATATACTTTAAGTACTGCTGATGGATATACCTATGTGATATTTTTTTTTTATTGAGTCGTTTCTTTAGAAGTATATTATGCTATATAATTTTAAATAGTATTCACAAATAATATACCGTGATCAATATAAAAATAACAACAGAATATTTTCAAAGAAATCTTCTGTAATTTCAATACGTACTAAAAAAGATGTAGTTCTTATTATTGTATGTATAATATCTATAGAAGTGAAATGGGATAGTTTCGCAATATAATATAATTGTCAGTGTGTAAGACTAGTAAAGAAAACCATGAAGGAGGTGAATATAACGAAACTTATATACATACTAACCGAGCATCAAACATGAGAAATATCGATAGTAGGTTCTTAGTGGAAAATAATTATAGCATGTAAGTTTACTTATTACTAACCATAATTAAGTAGCCAAAAAAAATATACGATAAAAAAATACAGTAATGTCTATATAATTTTATGTTTTAGAAATAATATTTAAAAATACATTATAAATACCTATTTTATAGTTCTTCGCTCTTTTAGATGTACATAATTGCATAACTATGTTTGTAACTAAGTAATAATAAATGTAAGTTATACGGTTTATTATAATCATACAAATTAATATTTCAAAAATCAAAATTAGAAAATATTAATAAGTAATCCTTGAGCATAGAAAATAATTCTATGAAATTTAAAAATCTATTGGTTATAATATATAATATAGACAAATTAATAATTTATTATTTTTTTAATTTTTATTAAATTTATTTCTATAAATAATGTATATTTAAAATTGTAAATAGCTCTAAAATATAAAAATTAATCGGTTTTTTTTCATTAAAAAATTTAATTATTATATAGTTAAAACAAGATTGTAACTTGTTTATCTATAAAACGAAATATAGTAAAACTAAATCCGACAAAATATATATATATATATATATTACTTTATAATTTGCCTCTTGTATTTATTATAACAAATATTTATTTACACAAATATGTGTAAGAGGATTTTTTTTATTAAACATTAAAACTTTACAGGATGTCAAACTTTTCCCATTAGTTACCATTTTTTTGATTTTTTTTTTTTTTTTTATAAATTATGTACTTCAAACACTATTCTCATACTGTAACGCTTCAATAAAATTCCAATTACTTATATATTAAAATATGATCAAATTATAAATGATGAATCACGTTAAAATTGTTTGGTAATGATGATTAATCTAGGGAATTGAAAAAAAAAAATTTAAGTTTTGTTGAAAATAATTTTTTGTGAAATTTTTTTTAAACAAATTTAGGAGTACAGTACTCAGAATACTATTAAGCAAAATATAGATATAAGAACGAGTACATTTTATATATACTCAAATATATATTTATATAGTAGTAAGTACAATACTTGTATACTAACATTATTTTACTAATTGAAATTTTAAAATTGTATTAACATATAGAAAAATAGAAATATAGAAAAAACATTTTCACTAAGACATTTCTTAGTACTTTTCGAATATAAATAAATTATATATATACCATTTGAAGAAAAATAATCAACTTTTCTTTAAGCATTTTTTCATATTTACACTATCGAAAAAATTCATGTTTAACATTTCCTTATTTTTTCTTTTGTTATATTATGAATATCAGAATTGTAAATTTTAATGAAATATATATAACCTTATTATTGAAGTTTTTCCAATATTATTTTATTTAAAAATACGATTGTGTCCAATTATTCTACACATATATCCCAATTTTAAAGACAATTTGTTATTAATAGTTTTGTTATAATATAATACAATAAATTATATTTTTTGTAATTCATAATTGATTTGATTATAATTTTATAAAAAAAGTTGTAATTTAAAATACTATAATACTTTGAATTTAGTTCGTATACCAAGTATACATTCTATACCTTCTCATATATCAATAATTTGAATGAACTTCATTTATATATAATTATTCACGACTTTTGATTAGTTGCTGATAATATATACATAAGTGTGGTATGACAATTTATTTGTTTTAAAATCAATATAAATTGGGTTATATAACAATACGAAAGGTGTTGTTTAAATAAATTGATTAAATAAAAAAATATTAATATTTGTGATAAATGTGAGTAAAAATTTGATATTTAAATTTTTAAGACTCTCACTAATGTAAATGATGTTGAGTATTATTAAAGGAAAATTGAATATACAATAAAATGTATGTCTAAATTAAAACAGTTAAATAGCTAGTTAATTCTAGGTCAAATAATCTTAATTCATAATTTATGGGCCATGAATGTAAATTTGTTGTGATTAAATAGGTTTTGTTAGCAAAAAAATAAATATATAAATTCAGATTCTACTATAATATTGTATACAAAATAAAATAACGGACACCATAATATCTACTTTATATTGTTTGAAAAAGCTATTAAAATGTAGTTAGAACATATTTTTAACGTATAAAAATGTACAAAAGAAGACAGCATTTCACTGATGTTTACAGAAAGTGTATTATTCAGAATAGAATAAAATATTATACATGAAATATTTGTCTACCATATAAAGAGAAAATGAAAAACTTATAGTTTTGAAAAAAAAACTTTTTTTAACTACATTGACTGTGTTTTGAAATATCAGATTTACTGATAATGCACTTTTTAAATTTTATATGAATTCGACGAAACCGAGATTCTATATTTTATACCGCATAAATCGTATTATAATATCTTAAATATTGTGTATAGTAAAAAAAATACTATTGAATCGTATTAACTCTAACACGTGATGATGTATACGTTTAAATTAATAATGATAACTAAAACAGTGGAAAATGTTTTTGTGTCAATGTTATACTTTTTTAAACTTTTAGTGTTTTTTTTTTCATCAAGTATTAAATGTATGAAATAAACATATTTCAAATTAATGGATCATACGATTATCAAACACCCATAAATTATATTTGAAGTAAACCATTATAATTTACGGATAAATATGTACATAATTCCAATATCAATTAAATGATGGCGATCTATGCCACTTTTAATTTGATATTTATACGTTAAGATTTTAAGCATGGATTGAAAATAGAGAATATTCATTATCATACTGTAATAATTATCCTGTCATACATAAATTTAATAATTATATATATATATATATACATACATTGAATACAATAACTGAGTATAGTATAGAAACATACTTTAAAATGATTAATTATAGTGTAGTAAGTATTATAATCTTTTAAATTAAAATCACGACAAAATATAAAATATTTATGTTAGAATTACAGTGCGTGAACTTTTACTGTCGGAATTTTTTTATTTATGATTGAGCTATGAAGGATAAAGTACCATATATGTTTCCAATTGATCTCCAGCATATTTAAAGCACTATAATATTTCATAAAATCAATATTTTTTGACCGGTATTTACATAAGTCTATTTACCTAAGAAAATAAATTACGTTCAATAATGTATAATATATACATTATGACGTAATATATTCTTTCTGTATCATACAAACACACACACACACATACACACACGCACATACATATAATCTGGACTCGAGGGATATAAACGAACCTTGTACACAATCCTGTCGTACCTTTGGCATTCCAACACTTCCATATAGTATTAACAAGGTGGGCACGATGCTCATATACCGCACTGTACACTCCAATGCGTGAAACAATACGTGTTAAATAACATGTGAAATACATTTATGATTATTTATTTTGGCGATGGGGGCAGAATGAGATAAAGTGGCTATATCTGAAATGCCGTTACCTATAAAGCTTTTCGGTAAACAAGTTAAAAAGAGCACGAATTGATATAACCGAAAAAGCACAAAAAATACTTCTTAAATTAATAACACGCACGTCCTTTAAAATAAATTATCTAAAAAAGCATACTGATGAAATGATGATTACTGAGATAAATCTATTTATTTTTTCCCAAAACTACAAAATTTAATTTTAATTCTCATGTTATTAATTTTATTATAACATCTTCTTTTGCACTTTACACTCCAATCTTTATATTAACATTATATCCAAAATTGCATCCATCTTTTACAAAGAACTCTGGTTCTGCTTAGTCAACTATTTAGACTCCCTTATCAGAGAACGCAATTAAATTATGTTATTTCTGAATATCGTCTTAAATGGTTAGCTAGCAAATGTGCAGAAATCTCATATATCAAAATTAACTTTTAGTATTAATCAATCAAGTTGAAAAGTGTCATCACTGGGTGGCTTATTTTATCGGTTTATTCGAGTATATCAGAAATTCTATCCATTCATACCTCTGCTTATTGTAAAAAAAAAGAAAATTACAAAATGTGCATTTATAATATAAATTAAAATATATATATATATATATATAAATATCTTGAAGTTTCGTTCATCGGCTTAGGTCAAAATTACTTATTGACTGTCTGTTTCATCATGATACTTAAGAACTATTATAAGTGTATAATATATAGATATACCTATGAAATACCTTGTTGTGGTATTGTGATATTCATAAGCGAATAATGATTTTAATTCTATATTGTTAAAAAAAGTTATAGAAATGTATATTCACGATGAACAATATGTTACCGCTGCATCATAATATTATGTTGTATTTTATTATTAGTGATCTACGTCGAGTGACATCGGTAATGGAATAATAAGTACTATTTTAGGCGACAGTTTTTCGAGCGGAAAAAGTATCTCTTTTAGTCTGCGCCTATCTAAATGAACTGCGATCACCTCCTCACATCCTAATTTTAACGTTGCAGTTGAATTTGAAAAACAATTGTTGAGATATAACAGTATCAGCTTTGAAATCTCCTAATCAAAAAAAAAAAAAAAAATGATTTAAGTTATACGATTTTTTATTTTTATTGTTTCACAGAACACTTGGTGCTGCAGCATTTGCCGACGCAAGCAACAGAGTTCGTCGATACTGCAACCCGTGATGACGCAAAACTCAACCGACAGCCTGTTGGACGTGCCGATAGTCGACACGTTGCAACGGCGTCACTCGGACGTGAAAATCGGACGGAACTCCGGGAGCGCCGGATCCGGCAACGGGTCGCTGGGTACGGGGCTAGCACCGCCGCGGTCGCCTGAGCTGAGACGGCACTCGGATGTGTCACCCGCCACGCTGAAAGACATGGAAAAAGTAAGCAGAACCAAAATCTCCTTGGTGCAATAACAAAAATAATAATATTAATAACAACTACTTGAGTACAAAACTCGACAGTGCGTCACGGCCATAAGTCTTCCAACTTGAACGCGCGTAAAAGTAAATAACAAACCCATCCCAGCTGAATATATATATATATATATATATATATATATATATATATATAAATATATACCTATAATATATATAAATATATACCTATAATATATATACGTGATCCCATTGGATCGCACTTGTGCACACGCGTCCCGTTTTTGTACTTAGCGAGTGGATGATTGTGTACGTGTGTACAAGTACGAGCTCAGAACTTTAGTTCCGACTCGAAGTATCCAATCTCTATAACGATAATTATGTGACTTTTTAAGTCCAAAAATGAACTAACCATCCTAGTGTATATCGTTTGAGTAAACCCCCCCCCACCCACAAACGAACAATTATGATATGCAGCGGAAAAACGATTAAAAAATAATAATGTCGGTTTCGTTTACATACGAAACGCAAACTCGCGCATAAGTTAAACGACTTTTGAATGATTGAATGTTGAATGACCGTGTAAAAAGCACTGCAAAATATCGATTGTGAACACGATAATATTTCCGTTTATTAGAACGATTTGGTTTCGATTACGATTTTCATGTAATGTACATCGGATTATCAACAGCTCGACGTTCATAATAAGATGTTGGGCGTAAAAGCCTGTACATCATCATGGTACGTGTGTTAGTCCGTTGTTAAGACAACATTTCAAATGGTTGTGCGAGCAACGATTAACCATCGCACTCGGAATGCCAAGGTCGTTGTAAAATAAGCATTTATAATAGTTTGTATGGTTTTATTTTTACATTCGATTTTTTAGTCGGATTATTTTATCAAACGAGTTTTTATTTTATTTTTATGTTAACGATACTATACTATTGAAGACAATTGATTACGAATGAACTAGCTTTAATAGCTTAAGATTTGCTTAAGGATTTTAGTTTTTGTACTATTAAAACAAAAAATCGATTTACTTCACCAGAGTCAATAAAAATGCTTGTTACGATTCAACATTGTTTTCCAATAATATATTTTACTAGTTGTTTGTACAGTTTTTTTCATTAATATTGTCCTAGAATCATACTATAAAATATTTAAAAAGTTTGTAGTATAAGTGACTTAAGTTATATTTTATATAATAGGTCTTACTATATCCATATATATTAAATTTCTGTACATTTTTCAATTTATAGGACGCCAATGATATGTTAAGTGTAGATCTGTCATTAAAAATTGAACTGTAAAACCAATAAATTTCTTGTTTTATTTTTAAATAAGAATTTTATTGTTATTTTAAACTATTCTCAACATTTCTTATACTTTTGATATATTTGATAACTTTTCAAATCATTCGAGAACTCATATTAATTTTATTCTCCATAGATTGAATGATTGATCATCGAAAGAAACCAATGTTTTACCGCAAAAAACTATTGTTTAATATACGGTTATATGATTATAAAGTTCATCGCCAAACACGCATGTCTTTATGTTATAAAATGAGTTGTTTTTAATTGCTATTTAAACATACCTCAGTAATTTTACTTCGGCGTTCAAAATTATATTACGGAGTATAAGTAGATTTAAAACCTCTAGGTACACTTTTATTATTTCACAAACGCACTTAATAGATTTTTTTTGTACTTCAACTATAAATCATAAAAAAATAACCACAGATGTGTACATATAATGAACTCAAAGAAAAAAAAATGGGCCTATAATCTACGTGCATGCACACATTTATTTATGAATCATAATATATAAAATTGGGACTCTGAACGTAAACAAATAGCCAATATGATATTGATGAAGGGAAATTGTAGCGGGTTTTTATTCGTTTATTCTTATTTGTTTTGATTTACATCAACTGACCGAGTACAAGAGCGACAACTTCCGCATTTTATGTACGTGTAATAATTATTTTACCATAGTCGTCGTTCTCGACGGACAATTTAATGGGCGACGGTTAATTTTGTTGTTGTAAAGGTACAGGCGCAGACTTCCGTGAAGCGCACTCGTAAACTTCCCCGGACCGCGTGTTTGTGTACAGAATAATCGATAATACGACAATATCAATAATTATTATGGTAACGTAATAGCGTATATAAATTACAATCGGGTCTTTGCCACTTTACACAAGACCTCGGGTTACTGTTGAGCAGGGGAAAAGGAGAAAAAAAAAACGAAAAAATGGGAAACATAATACTCGTATTATATATAATAATATGATGATACTATATTTTCGACACGTCGTGCTTACGTGGTAGTCTTGTTATTTTCTTTTCTATCGACAAAACGGTCGCGTGAACGAAGAGTGTAAAAACGATACCTACCATATTTTCTACAACCAAAGGCTTTATTTTTTTTTTAAATTTTATATAAAAACTCGATAGTAAATTTAAAATAGATTTTAAAAATTTTGTTTGAACTACCCAATTATAAAAATTCTTAGATAAGGTCATTGCGTGCAATTTATATTATAATATAAATAAAATCTTTATAATCTTAAACGTTTACCTATTGTTACAATCTTTATTGAATTATTTTACTGGATTAACTTTTAATAAAACATGAAAAAGGACATTTTTTTAAATTGTCTGTATGGGATGTTAAAATTTAAGCAATACAGGGTTTTTCTTTACCATTTATGTAAATGTTTACAGCAGCTGCTATGTAAAAACAAAAAAGTAACCATTTTTTTTTTTTTTACATAAAAGTCTTTCAAAAATAAATCATTCTGTATAGTTTATACATTGAATAATATTTCAAATGCAGAACTTTTTTTGTGTTAAAAATCATTAAATCACATATAAAAGTTTTCATAAATTAGTAAATAATAATACACATTTTTTTTTTTTTTAATTGATGTTAGATGTATGATATGTACATTTTTTTTTAACTACTGTTTCATTCACATTTTAATTACTTTTTAAATCCTGAGGATTTTTATAATAACTATCAATAATGTTTAATAATGCTAATAAAGAAAATGTCCGTTCCGATTCGCATACGATTGTGAGTAAATTGTTTTATTCACAATGTCTTTGTGAATATCCCTTAAATATGATTGCGTTAAATTTGAAAAAAAACGATTTTCATAATAGATAATGGTTGTAAAATAATAGTTTATATACCTTTGTTTAAATAATTAACTATTGGGATAATGCAATTTGTTTATACTATCGGATGTCCAGTATAACGATTAAAGTATTTACTTAATTGTAATGGCTTTTAAACATATGTATAATAAGTATATATATTTATATAATAATATTGCCGGTGCCCTATAATTAGCAAACTCTGGGTAGATGTGATATTTTAATTTACATTATTTTTCAACCTTTTTTGACTGAATATAGCATGAAAAGTCAGCGGTTCTATAGCTTTAATGATTTAATAACACAAAACGTCCATATACATTTCGAAGCAAATGAAATAAGAAAATCTGTTTCTGTAGTAACACTAGTTATGGTGGTGTGCAAGAGGGTGATTAGTATTTTAAATCTAATCTACTTAAATATTTTTCAAACAACGGTTTTAGATTTTCACAGATCACGTAAAATAAAAACAAACATATAAGAATAATTATTAAAAAATTAATTATTTGATTGGATTATCGATCGGGTATGGAATACTGGGCATGACGAATGTTGGGAATTTCCGATAAAAAAAAAAAAAACGTGCTTTATGTTTAAGCCAATAAAGCATTAAATAAAAATCTCGGATACGTGGGTGGACTTCCATGCCGAATACCTATACTCATTCCCAAATGGCGCCCTTTAAACTATATTGTTACTAAACAAGCTAATAAATTATATTTCAAGTAAATGTCGGCCGTTTTGGAACTAAATCTGTATTACTGCCATAAAATAACACATGATATCGTTACGTTATTTTAATCCTCTATAGTTAAAAATTATATAGAAAAATCCAGTTAAACCCCAAAACATAATATATTGAACTATACAATTACTTAATGATAATACACAATAATTTTAGCAGATCAGAAAATCATAATGTAGTTCAGTATGCATAGTAGAATATGAAAAATATCATTTTTTATTAATTTATTTATATTTTTTGATCATACATTTTTTTTATGTATATTTAAAGGATATAAAATCGCCAAAGAAACAAATAATGGAATCGATTTTTAATTAGTTTTTCCTAGTTTTATTGTTCCGTAATAAAACATGTTATTTCAGTGAAAATTATATTTTTGTAATTTATTTGGTTTTGTTAAAATATTTTTTCTGATAATATCAACGGCCTATTTGATTGTTCAATAAAATATAAAATTGAAGTAGGTACTATAAGAAAAACAGAAATATTGTCTATTTTTTTTTAAATCCAACTTAAAATTATGAAATGGTTCAATTAATATCAAATTTACTTAAATAAAATAGTAGATAAACTAATGCTGATTCCACCAATCTAGTAAATATTTGAGTAAATATTTATTGAGTTATAATTTTTTTTTTCTGGTTAAAGGCCTTTCAAGACCATCCCATCTCACACCCGTTCCTCCATTCTTCTCTATCCATTGTTCTTTCTTTCCAATTCGTTCCTCTCCCTAGCGATTGTACATCCTTTTTAACTTAGTCTTCCCATCTTATTTTGGGTCTTCCTAGCGGTCTTTTCCTCGCGGGTTTTGTTCTAATACTGCTCTAATTAGCTCATTTTGGCTCCTCCAAGCGTGGCCTACCCATTGGAGTCTTCAATTTTTTATCACTTCCGTTATGGTTGTGTTTTGGTTTAATATTTCTAGCTCTGTATTCTTTCTTCTTCTCCGTTCACCGCTGTTGTTATCCTTAACTGGTCCATAGATTTTCCTCAATATTTTTCTTTCCATTATTAAAAGTTTATTTTCGTCAGATTTTCTTAACGGCCACGTTTTCGCTCCATATAGGATTACTGGGCGGATCAGTGTAATGTATAATTGCTTTTTTAGTTCTGTAGATAATACGATAATACTCATGATCCAAATGTCTTTGTTAGCCCATAGTAGCATTATTGAGTTATAATATTCCAACTAATTATAAATATTCATTTTCAAATATATATAATACTTTGAATTTAGCTGCTGTGCAAAAGAAATTCAACATTTTTATGCAAATACCTATATGTACTAATAAATTTATTAAAATAACTTTATTCTGTATTTGTTATACATGGTTTAGACTTACATATTCTTTTTGATATAATGAATATTACATATATTTATTATACCAACACATAGTTAATATGTCTTGTGTTATTAGTCATGAAAAAAATGATAATACAAATATACTTAAAAATAATTTATTCTTCCTGACATTGGTGACAAAGATAATAAATAACATTTTTGAGACAATTAATTACAAAACAAAATTGTAAAACTCGAGAAAAATGACAGTTTTTTTAGCATAATTTTGTGTGTAATAATTTATAATTTAAAATGATGACACTTATTATAAATGTTTGGTCTTAAATTTTTTTTTTGTTCCGATTTCCTCGAAATATAGAACGACATTACCATAGTGTTATATTTTTAAATTATTAATCGACTAATATTTATAGAATTTACAATGGGTTGCTTAATTTTACATTCAATGTTCGACAGTCAGATAAATATTAATATGAGTCCATTGGATTTCTTTTTAAATATAATTTATTTTAGAAATGTTCTTCGATGTTATTGAAATCATTATCTATTGAATAAATTTACAATTTATACGGCATCTATTTAATTTTTGCAAAAAATAATGATAGCACTTAAACCTGAAATAATTGAATATTGTATGTTACACACATAATTCCATTTAATTTATTGATTTCAATGTTCTTAGGCTGCAGCTTCACTCAAGGTGGGAGATAGGAGTCGTATTACAGATGATAAATTGTGGAACAGGGACACGGGACTTAGGCAGAAACGTGGATCAGCCGGTGCAGTGGTTGGTCAAAGTACAAATCAAACGCAACCTACAATATTTCGGTTTGACACTCGCCGAGAATCAAAAATATCTATACCCGCTGGTTAGTATTATAATCCATACTTACTGAAATATTATTTTCGATCAAACTTTTACATTACATATTTTATGTACAAATGAAAGCAAATAAAAATCGAAGAAAATTCATTGTTATGGATTCAAAGTAAAGCAAGGAATGTATCGACTTTACCACAATGTGTTTTTATTTTTGATTTGTTGTTTTGTGTCTGTACGAACGATTTCAACCGTATAGATTGCTTCGGTCATCAGAAGAAGAGATTATTTCTTATAGCAAATGTTTTCTAGTTAGTGCACTCAAACTGGCCATTTTTAAAATTCCAATATTCGAGTAAACTGACCGAAAATAGTAATAAAAATATTTTTTCCATCCTGCAATTTAAGACATTTTTTAAATAAAATTTCATTTCTTTTACTCTATGAGATCTGTATCTGGCTTGTTTAAAATTTATACTCGGTATACAATAACTAAAATGATGTTACTGGTTTATGATATTGAATTAATAGGTATTATAAAATAGCTATGTAATAAAATCATATGAAATGGGATTGAAAGTTGGGGACTATAATTATCAACGCAAATAATGCTCACAACCGTTTTATTTGTTGTAAAACTTTACTACCATTACCTTTACTTACACGATTATAACTAAATTTAATTCGTACATTTGTCAGATTAGTGACTTCTGTAAACCTGCCCTTAGATTGAAATACAAAGAAAAATGACGATTGTAAAATGTACTAATCATTAGCAATATTTTACTCCAATTAGTAATATTTATTAAAATAAGTCAAATGTTAAATAAATAAATAATAGTTCATTATCGTAAATATTTTATGAAATATTGCAAAATTATATTAACATTATCAAATGTTGTATATTCTCAATCAAATTCAACAGACCGTCAAAAAGATACTGATTCGATTTTTCGCTAAACGCTTGTCGAAGGAACAAAAGTTTAAAATCTTTGAAACATCTCGAGAGTTGAAAAATGAAAAAGTGTTACAGAAGATTGAATATGGTAGTTAAGCAATAAGTCTTTATATATTACTACATAGACATCACAAAATATATGACTAAAATATATACCTCTTTTATAATATTCATAAAAAAAACTCTATATCAAAATAACAATATGACAGTGAAATTTACAAAATATACTATACGGAAATAGTGTATTATTGATATTGGCGTTTTTTAAATAATTATATTTTAATAATCATTGAAGTTTACAAGTAGGTTAAAACAAGTTGTGTAAAAATATTTTTTTAAAAAATAATAAAAATCAAACAAAAATTAAAAATTATTAATAATACATAATAATAAATCAATACTAGTAAATTAATATATAAATAAATAAACAAATAGTTTATACATTGAACTTAATTAAAAATAAAAGCTGGGCCTGAAAAATTATTATATTTGTAAAGTACAATTGGTTCATAATACAATACTTTAATTTTTAATTGAAAACCGGTTGTACTTAACAAACATAATACTACTACCGGTTAAACTTTTTTTATTTATTTATTACTATTTATAAACTGTTTTAGTATTTAAATACTTAATTATGGTTAAATTGCTTATACATACTTATACATTCAATATCATCATATTTAAGATATGTATGATATTTTATATACTATCATGTCATATACACACATATCCTTATATATATATATATAAAAGAACAGGTGTTTTTTATGTTCCCATTTTGTGACGACACTATTCAATATTTTTTCAATTTTTTTTCACAGAAATGTTCTAAATACCTTCCTAAGTGTCATCATGACACCAGGTTTTTTTTTTGTGTGGAAAGAGAGGGAGAGGCGATTATATTTAAAGATTACGATTTTTTAGCTTACCATTTAAATAATTTAATGTGTTTTTTTTCAAATATTTGTACCAAATACTCCTACGAGTGATGATTCAAAATTTTATTTTATTCCTCATTTAAGTTTATCGTGGTGGATTACTTTTCTATTGATACAGTTGTTGATACTGAAGAATCGATACATTTTCCTGCAGAGTTCTAAAATTCACAAACATTCTACTGTATATCCTGATAAAATATCACTGAAGATGGGTGTTCCAATCATATTATGATAATTTTATATTCTCCAAGGTTATGTTATAAGTTTAAGCTCTAGGTCACCTCTTTTATAAAAAATGTAATTAATTAATAATTGGAGCTAAAATTTTGATTGGATCTGCTAAGGGAGAAAAAATATTTTTACTGAAATTACCATTATACCTCAACGGTTTTCCAGTTAAGTTTAGAACAGTACATTTTCCAATAAAAGTTTGTTTTACAATGCCAATAAACAAAGCGCAAGGGATAGACTTTAATTTATTGTTGTATAGATATGGAAAATAGCTGTTTCTCACATGGTCAATTTAATGTAGCATTTTCTAATTGGAAGACCTGACGATTTACATGTTAATATACCACAAAATATAACTCTGAATGTGGTATTACTAGAAATGTTGACTTGTCTTTTTGAATATGAGTATTAGTATAGAATAATTTTTAAGTATTCATAAAAAAAAAGTTGAATTATATAAATTATAACTATAACTATAGAATCAATAGAATCATTTGTAAATATTATTAATACTATTATTATTATTTTTTTTATTCGTAATTCAGCTACTACAACTATTTATTACTTGATCAAATTAAGTAAATTACAACAATAAGGAATTTAATTTAGAAAGAGCAAAAACTATAAACGGGCAAAGCTGAGTAATTCAGCTGGTATATATAACAATTTATCAACCCAGGTAAAACTTATACAGTTATGAAAAAATTAAAAAAAAGAAAAATTTGATGATGGTAATTTTGTGAAATAGCTTATCAATTTAATATTTTATGGATATTAAAATTTTTTTTTACATTTTATAATATTTCTATAACATTATGACATGTATTATTTCCCATAATAATCTTATGAAAATATAATAAATAATTCAATGTATAAATATTTATTTTCTTATTTCAATAACATTTTTATTCTACCTCGATATTGTGTGATTCGTTAGTTATATGAATAATTATTGTTAATACTCATGACTAGATGTTATACTTGTTAAAGACAATTGGAGCTAGCCAATAGCATTAACGGTAAATAATATTGGTCAATTGTATCACAGTGAATAATATTGCTAACCTTAATATCCATTACGAACTCGTAAAACCTATTTAATGTTATATTGTTGAATATTATCATATATATATAATACTACTACAGTTAATAATAGTATAATTGGATGATACAGTGAACAATATTTTACAAAATTTAATCAGGTATTATCCTTTGCATGCCAGTACTCTGACGTTAAGAGAATATTTCAGCGCGTAGAAACTGAAATTGGTTTATCCCCACTACGGCAACACCTAAACTACTCTGGTACCGGTTTTCCCACCACGATGACGGTCTATAAATATTCTAAAGGGCCGGAGTATAATTCGCATGCAATTATACACCCCATTTATTTTTAAGGCGCTTAAACGATGACTAAAGTTCTTCTTCCTTTCTGAGGTGGTCCGGAATAAAGTAGGAAGATATGACCTGAGGGAATATGAATTTCGAGGATAGATAGTAGAGTACAGAACTAAAATTGTATAGTAAATATGTGATAAATTACAAAAATAAGATCACTATTCAATGTACTTTTATCATATAAATTGAGCGAACACCAAGTTGTTCCACAGCCCAATCATATTTAAAAGGTTTTACTTATATATCATTTCCGTTCAATTTTCTTGGAATAATAATTTATTCAGTGCTAAATCGATATTCTTTTTTTTATTCTGAATGTAAAAACAAACTTTTTATTTAAATTTCATTAATTTTTAAATACAATTATTTTAGTCTGGCAAGTAATACGATTGAACGTTGGTGTTAATAATAAATTGAATTATAATTTCTTAATATTACTTTATTTTGCAAATTAACTGGCAATTTATACATTAGAAAGTTAAAATATGCCTAATAAACTTATTATATTTTAAGCTTATTTACATACATTTCGAAATTGGCCATTAGTTTTAATTGAAATGCATAAATAAAAAAAAAAGAGAAAACACTTTCAAACATTTTGGAATTATTTACCATTTTAATATTATGAAATTTAATTTAAACTTTTTATTAATGTTATTCTTCAATTTAATGTTGATCAAAATGTATCATTAGTAGAACTTGAGGTTGCATATATTTTAAATTTTATAAATATATCATTAATGATTTTAAAATAGGTTTTATAACAATCAAAAAATTTTATTTAAATTTAATATTATTGAATACTATTGTTTATTATTTGAATACGCCTACGTAAATAATAAAATGGTAAAACCCATAAAGAGGTCGAACTTCTAATTACATAGTTGATAATATTGTGTTATCAAACTAAAATAAATAATTATAGTATTGTCTTATTATATTATTGTTTAAACCAAGCGTTAAATGGTACTAAACTATTAAAAATTAAATGTATAGTGTATATTTAAAAAACTTATACAGTCGTCATATAAATGGTTATCAATAAAGTTTACAATTATCAATTTTATAAAGGACTGTTTAGAAAAATTCGGAATTTTTAAATTTGTTTCAAAAAATGATTAGAAATGTTTTTACAACGACATGGGTACTTATGTATTTGTGATATTTTTTGGTTGGTAGGGCTGAATGTTGTATAATATGAGTTTTTCGAGTAGTTTAGTTGCACTTATTGTATTTTGTAAAAAAAAAAAAAAAAGATCATGTATATAACTAAAATACAATTATTTACTCTGTTGAATATGTAAAATGTAGTTTATGAAAAAATTTTTTGAATCACTCGTGATAAATGTTCAATATACGCACTCATGTTCTTAATGGTTTTTCACGACCTATAGTAAATATTGTAGTATTTCTGTGTTTATTATTAAAAATGTAGTCGTTGATATATTTTCTTCTAACATTTTTTCATCACTTCCGCATTAGGTCGAGAAACGCTTGCACTTAAAAACATTTTTTTTTTTTTCATAAACTATAACACCGTTATTAGTCCACCACTTATTTGGTTTTATTCATTTATTAACATTATTTTTTAAATAGAATATTGCTTAGTCATGTGGTATATAATTATATTAAATAATAAAATAACAAAATATTAACTTTATCGGCAAAATTATTTATACCCTTTATTTGGTGGAATAAAAAATTAATTTTGAAATGCGAATATAACTATAAAAACCTAACTTGATTTGAAAAAAATTTAAATAATGTACTAATCGCGGTAAAAGATTGATATTATCTGGAAATCTATTTATAAAACCTACGTATAAATAAAACCGGAATTAAGACAAATATATACGAGTAATGCCCAACGTGGATATACACTAAACGAGTACTACGTTCAGTATGGTTTTTCGAAGTGTGTGAGGGTCGTATCGGCAAAACGTAAACACTTCGATAATTGTTGCATGTGGGTGTATTTAACTGTAGTATGGGGCAGTTCACGACCTTTAACTTCTTAATTTTAGAGATAATACCAACCGAAACGTAGTTAACAATAAAACAACGTTATTATGTAGGTACTTGCATGCGTTACACAGACTTGGTGAACCTACAACAGTATAAAATTAATTCCATTTTCAGTCGAAAATTTATAAAATACGTAAAATGCATAAAAGTGAAAAAAAAAAGAAAAAAAGTGCAATGAAATTGAATAAGGAATAAATCGTGTTTAAAAACTTTATAAAAAGTTTATTTTTATGGTTTTAATATGCTCAGATAATATTTCGGTGTCTTATAGTCCAAACAAAAAAATATAAGTCTAATACGTTTTGTTGAATAAAACGTGGGTGATTTTGTGACTAATAATAAAGGAGTTAAAACTTTACTTATAAATCAATTAACTAAATTTTATACTTATTTGATACAGTTAAAAACAATATTTTTATGGTTGAAAAATTCAATATTAAATAATATTCAACCAAACCAACAGGATGCACTAACATTTTATATTTAACTTAACTAAATCGTAATTATGAAATTAAGAGTCATTATTTATTTGTGCCTTTGTTGTAATCTATAATGTGTGAATCTTTTGCTCTTGATTTCAATCATAAATTTAGCTTAAAGGAGATAGATAGTCAAAAATTCTATAATTTTAAATTTTTAATGTGCAATTTATTATTTTTGGAATAATAAAAAAATATAATTTTATAGAATTCCTTAGTTCTATTCAAAATAGTAGTTCGTATAATGTTAATTTTACTGTGTTTTTTTCATGATTTTAATTTAATTTAAACATTTTTAAAAAGTGAGAGAAGTAAAATTTCCAATAAGTGAAAAACCAAGTTCTATAGCTAAATAGATAAATATTGATTATGTTAGCATATAAAACACAATAATAAGTAATAAATATTATACTACCCATTTATTTAATATAATTATCATGAATACAATTTTAACAGTTGTTTAAAAATATTGATCGATACTAGTGTTTTACTAGCATAAAGCTGGGGTTTTAATCAACGGTAGTAAATAGGTAAAATATATAATATATATATAATATAATATATATATAATAGATACTATTGGTAAAATATATTATATATTGAATGATTTTTTTGAGTATGCTAATACTATGAACGCGAGTACTTGGAAGATCGTATGGTTATACGATTGTTAATACGAATTCTTGGTATTAATTGCATGTGCCTTTGAACAAATTATTTTATTGTATATGTAACTAAAATTTACTAATTCAACAAGTTGCTCTAAAAGTTAAACTAAAAGTAAAATATTGCTATAGAAACAGCATGTCTTTTGAAAAAATGTCCATTGACCTTCGTTGTCACGTGTGACTCGTTATTCTCATTCGGTTTTATAGAGGGCAACGTTTTTGACCTTAATTTCGAAGTTGCCAAGTTCATCCAACAAACTCGTATAATCGTCTAGTAAACCACAAATAAACAAAACTATACATGCAATTTAGAACCAAAGTCACGAACTTTCAATTAGGCGGGTATTCTATTGTTCATTGCATAAGTTTTTGGAGAAGTTTAAACGTTGCTTTCCTTATTTTCTGTCAAACGTAAAATAGACATTTTTTTTGTTAAGGTTAGTTGTAGAATGTTGTAGGTTAATTAATAATCTAATATTGTTATTTATGTATTTATATATTTTATTCATAATTTCAACAAAAATATTATACTTATATGACACATTATGGTTATTTATTTTATAATATAAAATTATTATTTATTGTTGTTTGTAATGGCATTCTGTTTTTTTTTTTTTAATTTCGGGTACAAATAAATCAAATAATTTTCTATTAAATACAAAAAAAAAATGTAACATATAATTTATTTACTATCTATACGTATAATTACGTATATTATTATTTTTAATACAAAACCAATATATTATAAATGGTATTCATCCAATAAATTCTTAAAAAGTTCAATTACTTAATTATGTTTTAAATACATTTTCTCGAACGTCGTTTAATATAATTTATAAAATAGTTGCATCAGGTTCATGTTGTAGAGCTATGACAATACTGTCTTTATTTATGTGGTTTATCCATCACTTCTAACATATTGGTTATCACGCATTTGTTTGAAAAACTTAATTTATGTACGTAAATCTGTTGAATCAACAGAATTTAACAAAATAACGATGAACTCGATAATTCATTTTGGTCATTTCTATTTGTGTTGTTTATTTTATTTTCTGTGATTTATCGAGATACTCGAATTTTAATGTTTGCGATCCATATATTATAATAGATGACTCTACGGATGATCCTGACGATGCAGAAAATCGGTGGAGAAGAGGAGCACGGGGTGCTGTGCAAAGGGTACGAAGAAAGTCCAGGGTGCAAAAACAGCATAGCTATGATGATGAAATAAAGCCCGGTGTTGGGCAAGGAGGACAGGGTGTTACTACGACTTTAACTACTGAGGGACAAGGTAACTCTTCAGTTCTCGAATATTTCAATAATTTTTCAAATAAATCTTTGTTACACACTTATTAATTTTATTCTACGTAGTGGAAACATTCTAACTCTTCCGATAAATGACAAAATAATATGAAGAGAGAAGAAGCTATATAAAAACTATAGCATGATATTTTTATTTATACCCTAAGTTTACTGTTGTGTTTTACTTTAACAAAGATTATGTTCATCAAATTTTTATCGTTATTTGAAATTTAGAGTTGATTTTTTGTTATTGTGCTGAACTTTCCGTGATCTATATTTCATTCGTGATGTATTAGAAAGAATAAATCACATATATTAATATATTATATAATATATCAACTTAACAAAAAAAAAAATTCATAAATAGTAACGAATTTAATATGAACACAATTAAATAGTATATAGGTACCATAAAAGTTATAATAACACTTTTCAAGTTGTATTTTATCATCATTTTCTAACATTGCAAATCTTATAACATTTATGTTATATTTTTATTATAGTTATAGTTATCATATAATTTATGAAATTCAAGCAATTATGTTTACTTTGTCTACAACCAAAAAATAATGTTAAGATATTAATACTATTTATGAAAAAGTGGTATTCTATATTCAGAAATATAGATGTCATTGTATTATATCCATATATACAAAAATTTATTATATATTTAGGTGAAAATGTAAAACGAGTTTTAATATATGATTTGAAATTGTTTTATTTCTTTATGAAAATTATTTTAAAAATATATATTTTGCATGGTTAAATAAATATCTGACTTAAAATAGTATAATTTATGTAACAAAATAATGTCACATTAAATTAAAATAATTGAAACTCCTAAATAGTTATAATGCAAAGTGTTTATACATTTTATTTAGTGATAGATTCTAAATTAATCGAAATTGTTTTCAAGCTATAATTTATAACAATAATGTAATTGCATGTTTATATGAAAGACGTGATCTCTTATTTATGTAAAAATCTAAATTTAACTTGAGTTTAACTTCATTTGATTTTACATTTTAATGTTATTTTAGTGTAGTAAACATTTACATAGCTTCTCTCGACGAAATAACTACATATTATTCAATCGATTCGTTGTTAATACGACAAACACAAAAAAATTAATCTGATAATACTTACGTATATATTCAGACGTCTATTGATGCGTCGTTTATTTGCTTTTTTTATTTATAAACCAAATTAGTTGTAAACAATTTTGAACCGAGTAAAGGATTTATAGTTTTGTATTTCAGTAGGCTAACAAATCAAAAGTTGTAATTAACACAGTTGTATGTAAAACAATTATTTTTTCAGTATTGTCCAATTATTAATTGGATTAAATTTAATTAAACGCTTAAATTAGTTGGTAGGTAAGTGTTTTTTTATTAAATTATGACATGATGTTTACTTCCACTAAAATTAGAAGAAAAATAATAACAACATTATTTGTAAGTAGTTCATCAGTAGTTTATTTGTTTAAAATAAACTGTTATTTATATAAAATATATAATTACTTATTACACAAGTACAAACATTATTTATTCATATCAGATTCAATAGATATTTAATTAATTTGTATTCGACAATTTTTCCTTGTAATCATTGTTTTAGGCAGATTTATGTAGGTGTTTGATTTTTTATTACAAAAGCAATAAAAAATCGTTATTGGTATTTGTATATATAAAATAGATATAACGAATATTTATTTTGTTGTTATAAAATAAAAATAATAACCCATAAAAATGAATTTTTAAAACGTTTTTTTATACTTTTGACTATTGAAAACAATAGATCAAATTATATTGATTATTGCTTAGCGTGTAATCGACAATTTCGTTTGACTTTCGAAAACAATAGATCAGATTATATTGATTTTTGCTTAGCGTGTAACTGACAATTTTGTTTACAGCTCAACTGCCGAGACGAGCTTCAGCATATGATGTATATCAGAATCGTGTGGACCAGGGTGTGACTCCAGCGAGTCGGAGGTCCAGTTTTCGAATACAACAAGAAGATGACGTTAATAGCAGTTTACAGCAAAAAGGTAAATCAATCAGGACTGTATATTGAGCGTTACTTATGCAATACTTATACTTCTACACAACGGAAGTGTATTTTTGACAAAGAGAAAAGCAAACCAGAGTAGGATGTTTTGTGATTATTGAAGTTATGCAAATTTAGCAGATGATAAACCCCTTAATTTATTTTATCCGTCTAAAACATGCCAGACCCTTTCACCATTGTTAATTATATTATCTCACTGTGATTTTCGGTGATGTGTGCTAAAATTATGTATGCATTTTAGATTCTATGTAAGACAATGACATTTGTGATGGTCAACAGCCACATATTGTACCGAGATAAATAATTTAGATCCAATTTCAGTAGACTGTAACAAACATTCTTCCACACACGCATACACTCACACACACACTTACATATTGAGATAAAATCTAGACTTAAGTATTCGTAATGTTTCGTTCTTTAACGCATTTTAAATATGTGCGTGTAGAAACTTAACGTGGAAGAGTAGCACGAAAAAGTAGCATAAGCTAAAACTAACGAAAAACTACTACATTACTATGTAATGTAAATGGGGAGAGGGTGGTCCTAAGGTTAATTATTCAAATAATATTGCGAAAACTAGACGATTTCTAGTTTTAATTAGTAATTCTGTAAAGTGTCGGTCGGGTGCACCAAAGGCTTTTGGAACAATATGTTATGGTCTACCCCCCTCCCCCTTAACTTTTTTTATGTCACTGCTAGATGTTCAGGGCACACCTAAATATAAATTGTCTTTACGTGACGTAGCCGAGGAAACCATAATGATGAGTTCCCAATGCCATGCATTTACCCTTGGTAATATTGCATCAGTGCACGTCACACGTAAACTCCGAATCTACCTCATTAAACCGAGTTTTGTTAAAGGACTAGAAATATTTCTATAGGATCCGAGTGGTTTTGTGGGTGAAAGGGCGGAAAGTCTTGCGTTATGGGAGTACGTTTAATATTCGGGAAATTGCACTTACCATGGTGTAAAATATTGTAGTTTAAATTCCGGTTTGATTAAGAGTTTATTGGTCCTCGAATATAAATCAATGAGATTACTATAATTTGCATATTTATAATCCTCATTCAAAACGTATAGAACGTTTTCAGGTTCAAATTATTTTGATGTTATAAGCCAAAAAAGGAACTTATGACTTTATATTGTTGATATCAAATGTATAATAGGCAGTGATGTAAATTTTATAATACATATTGTATAATATTGTATTATACAGGCGTATTATACGTCATGTATAAAAAAAGTAAAATACAAGTAGTATATAAAAAAAAAATCAGTGATAATTGATAAATGGTAGATAACAGTGATAAGTGATAACAGTAATAAAATGACGGAGGACGGCCACATACTCATAAGTAAGATGGTTATTGGTAGGTGGTTGCCGGTTGGCATCGATCATAGAAAAGAGATTATAAAGAATAAGCATCATTGTCCATTATAAAGAACTATTCTAGCCATAGACGATAGACCTATTAACTTAAATTCCATGATTCTAGTCGAAATATTTGTAAGTCGTAGTGATACGTGCGATAAGTGCTAAGTCATAAATTCAAGTCATAAGTCATAATCGTAGACAGTAGACTGCAGTATAATACTATACTAAATTCTATTAATTATATTTAATAATCTACAGGCTACAAGTTACAATTAATTGAAGTTTCTAAACGTTAGTTACTGTTTCATTTTACTATGGGTTGACCTAATAATGTTTAATATTATTGATATTACATTCTTATTATCCGGCAGTTTTATATTTAACAATTATGTAAACACCATATAATAATATTTTTGTAAAATATTGTATTATACACGTATAATCATGTATAATACACGCATTATACAATAAATAAATAAAATACGCTATTTTTACATCACAGATAATAGGTAAATATTAAATAACGATTTTGTATTTTAAAATTAAATTTGATAAAAATTTTTAAATTTAAAAGTTATGATCTGAAAATAATAAATTTACAAAGTTTGAATCGTTAATTTTTTTTTATGTTTTTACATATCGTACAAAATATTGACTTGCAATTTTGAGGCTCATTAAATTAATTTATTTTCATTGTGAATATTGTAGTAAGTGAATCTGGTTAAAATTGAACTGTTTAAATGTTCTTAATTTCGATATGTTAATTTGTTGTATTCTTGTCAAACCTAAAATATAAGTTCATTTTACACTTTTTATTCATACATTTTAAAATATTATCCCTTTAAACATTTTGTTAAGCTAAAAGTAAAAATGTATAAACTTCTCTTCGTGTTGTTCGTTAAATGAGAAACTCGGTAAAATATAAAATACATTATTTTAATACAAATAAGATCTTTCTAACGCTGCTATCCAAAAGCAATTTTATTAATGACCTTATAAATATTCCTTTTAGATACTGTGAGACCCCTATTGTCGTAAAATAGTGATTTCTTTTAGGATAAACATTCAAGCTACTGAAAATGCCTTTAATATATCAGAAATTATTTTACTGGTGTAATAGCAATGCATTAAATATTTTCAGTTTTTTATATTGAATATAATTTTAAGGCTAGATTTCAACCAAAATTGGGTGGTTTTACTAAAGTTCTCTTTTTTTAATTGAGACAGTAAATATATTAAAGAGTTATATTATTGTATTTTAAAGAACTTATAAACTGAACGTTAATGTTGTTCGAAGCACTTTCAGATGAATTTAAATATTTGTATACAGTAGTATTTGTAAGAATTGTTTATTTGCTTTATTATTATTTTTAATTCATTATAAGTCTTTGGTTATAAAATCATATTCAAATAATATGTGAATTATGTATAAAACATACATACATACATACATACATCGTTTGTCGGTTAACAACATATTTCACTTAGAAATAAAAAACAAATAACACAAATAATGCACCTATAACATCATCACAATACAGAACGTATTGCTGTAAACCATTTTATCCATATCCAAACATAGTATAATAAATAAGCTGATATTTGATAAATACTAATCACTATCAGTAAATGAGTTCTTAAAAATAGTAGCTATTTAAATATATATAAGTATATGTCACAACCGTGTTTTTCTTCTGATAAAAAATAGGTACAGGTATAATTCGTATGTATAAAAAAAAATGTTAAGTATAATTATGTAGTACTATTTACAAAATTAACATAGTTTATGTTTTTCATTAAAACTAACGCAGATAGTCGTTATTTTAATAATGTTGTCACCTAATAAAATTAAAATGTTATACTCCTTTAATTATCAAGTGAAAACTTAAAAGCTTACAGTTAATATACGTTGTTACTACGTTTGTATTAATCATGAAATGCTATATATACATTATAGAAATTATAATAGACTCATATACTGCAAACTGTAATTCATTTTACCAAAGTTTATGTTTAGTAGATTGATAAAAATATTTAGGTCAGCAGGGTTGATTGAAACAAAAAGAAAATAAATAAATAAATGAATAAAAATAATAAAAATTGACAAGAATACAAAGTATACATCATTATTATTTTTTTGATATGTTTAACAAAAATTATTAATATAAAAAGATATGTGTTATTAACAATATTTTAAAAACAAATTTATTTATTTTTTTATATAACACATATTCATTTTTTCAGTCTAAAATTTAAGTAAAAAGCATATGTTTAAAATTAAACAACACAAAAAAATATAAAAAAAAGAAGTAAAGGATTTTTTAATATTGAATTTTATTTAAAACTTTGGTATATACGCTAAAATCGATAGCCCTAGGAATTATATTAAAAGTTTTTAGATTTTGTTTCAAAATTTTTCTTTAAAAAAAAGTACAAGTTATAGTTGTTAGTTACAAGTTATAAATGCACAATATTAATTTCTGAATAATGTAAATAAATTGTGTATATTTTGTATTAGTTATGCTCCTTTTACAAAATTAAAGAAATGAAGGATATAATATTTTTACCTATTAACCTTCAGTATTAAATTAAATTTAAATATTTTATTTAATGAGTGGTATATACCCTAACTATTTGATAAAGTTAAAAGTTTATATAATTATTTCAACTAACAATTGTGTCCTAAAACAAAAACACAATTAATATATGTAAACTGGATGTTATTGTAATAACTATAATAAAAATGTACTGAAATTCTCTACTTCTGAAATAATTGTATATAATAGAAATAAGATGGTTCCAATATGAATATACATGTATGTATGTATGTATATATATATATGGTTTATTCACAGAAACAGAGTCCACTTTAACACTCATTACCCTATAAATATTTTTCAATTCTGTTTTAGGAATATTAAATTAATGCATCATAAATTCTTATAATTTACAATTTCTTTAACTTATGTGTTTTACGCAGCTATATTTAATTCTATTTTTTAATGACAACCATTATTTTTAATATAATTTTAGAATTGGTCAATTACGTTAAGGTAATTAGTATTTAGTATTTTGATCTATTATCTTTATTTTGATTCCAAATATATGGACGACACATAAGCATAAGTTTACGTTCAAGGAAATAGCTGATTAGTAAATGTTATATTATTTTGGTGGCTATTTTGTATATGAGAGATATTATTTTTAGTGTTTTCATAGGTAAAATGACTTGCTGATGGTATTTTTCGACGTTGGAAGTCTTTGTAGATAGAATATCCTTTATAGTTTATTGAATTATTTTGAGAGCAAAGTGCATATTTTGGAGGAATACTTCTTGATATAGGACAATTAATTAGAAGACTGGTGATTTTAATTGCAGCGAACACATCAGGACTGATAATCACAGTAAGCTCTTGTGTGGCTGTACTATTGACATTAGAAGCATTGACTAATAGTTTTTTGGTTTGCGAGGCTCTTCAATTTTAATTTTAGTATATAGAAGCGATTTAAGTTGAACAATTTATTTGGATTTTTCTGTAGATTTTATTTCGACGAAAAAGAGTGGAAGTCGGTTTTTACTTGTTTTGTGAAGAACGTTGGTAACTTGTTTTTCCTCAAAAAGATGGATTTTTAACCCTTCTTTAATTAATTCTAATGGTATTGTTGGGTAATAATTACATAATACAATACGCAATAACTTTTTTAAGCTGATATGTATGGTATTCAGATTTTTTGATTTTTAAGAATATAATTTATGTTCTGGAAGCATTTGGGAACGTGTTTTGAATTTTTAGGTGATCGGTTGTGGACATAACACTTACATTTATTAACATCGATTAATCCAATAAGGATCGAGCAAAGAGCAGGGAAATCTTCCACGCCTTTAATGAAGATAAGCAGAGGAGGTTTATATGAATAATTTTCAATAATAGATAGACTGTCATAATTTAGTAGATTTTCAAATACACTAGGGTGATTTTCATCAGGTTGTTTTGAAGAGAGAATTTCGAAATGATTAGGAGTTGCAAATTTTTTTTTCTTTTAAATTAAAACTTTTTTTTTAAATAATTATTTATTATTTAATTTATTAAAATTTTTAAAATGTACGTTTTGATATTTAGGAAAATCAAAAGTAGAGTTGGATGAATTATAGTAATTTCGTTTATTTGAGATGGTGTTCCAGTCAGAAATGCTAAAATTGTTATATTATTAAGATTTTTCGTTTTAACAACCGACTGTTCATTTGAATGATTTGAGCTTTTATCTATATTGTTGAATATAGTTTGTTGGTGGCATAATTACCTGTCGATAATTTCGTTATCGGAGTTGCATGTGAACTTACGATAAGACAACGCGACTCGTAACGCGTCGTTTTTTTTTTCTTCGAGGTTTATTATTGGGTTTATTTTTGGTGTTTCTAGTATAACTTATGCTAATTTAATCGTTTGTGGATATACTTGTTGTGAAGTTGAATGGACAACATCAAATAAACAATGAAAGACAGAGAGAACAAAGAAAAACATATATTTAAACTAAATATGGGAGTGATCAAGCGTGCGTATCGAACGATTATCAACGCGAATCTGAAATACAGTGTTAGTTATTATGTACACAATTTAAATTTTCTAATATATATTTGTTTATTGCATTTTTTGTTTTAAAACTTTTTTAATGCATCTGAAAAACTCTTTTATTTTGTGCATAGTGCATAAATTGTTTGGAAATTGTTTATTCGAGTTACAGTGTCATCTAAATAGCTTTAGTGTTCAAACTTCTAAATTTATTTATTCTGCTCTTTGTGAATTATCAAGTTATTTTTAAAAGGCAATATAGCTTTATATGAAACATAATTTTATTTTAGAAGGAAAATAAAAATGTTGCATGAAACAATATTCAAATACATCAAGTATTGTAAACATAGTGCTAATCATATTTTATCTAACTATGAATAGAAGATACTGGTATTAAAATTGCAAAATAATATTTTATTTGTACATATGATATGTATATATTTAATAATAAATTTCGAAATATTTGAAAAAAGAATACATCAGAATTTATGACGATTGAGGCTAATTACATATTGTATAATATATTATGTTTTGACGCATGTGGTATATACTTTGTAGTAACTAATTTGTCTACTTACGAGTAGGTGGCTTTAGAAAATCATAATATTGTTAAATATTGTTAATATGTTATAATTAACATTTACGCAAATAACTATTTACTATGCATATCGTATACATTTTTAAAAACAATATGTTTATAAATATACTTAAAATTTTCATTAAAATAAATAATAATGATGATTTAACTAATAATATTATTATTTTATTTGCATTTGGTTTCCACTCGAAGGAAATATGTGTCATGGCTTCATCATCAAAAAAAAAAAAAATATTTTAATACTTGGTTTAATAAATTATAAAATGTTGGAACAGTTTATTGAATGTTTACAGCATTCGTAAATTTGAATATTTATTTCTCTAAAACATAATATGTTATAATTATACATAATATTATATTATAATATAGATATTTTATATCCATATTTTTGTGTTTAAATATTTTGTCTAACTTTTATCACCCGTTCAAATTGTAATAAATTCAAATAAAATGAGGGTGATCGATCCAAGATTTAAAGAGTTATTAAAATATTGAAATATTTGTATAACTAGAAAGGTGTTATAAAATGATTATAAGAAAGTTGGTATACTATATATTAAAGAAGATTTTTCATTATTTTATAAATACAATAAAATGAGCTATATGTTATTTTATAAATTAAACTCCATTCAAACAATGTTTTTATTGAATATAGGATTTTTTTTTTATAAATGTATATTCTATTCTTATGTTTGCGGTTTTACTCTGCAGTGCATTTCATACTGTTTACACAAGATATAACGTATACTGAATTCAAATGAGTATTTGGTTTTCAATTTGGTATTATAGTACAATCACATACCTGTTCTATTTCAAATTTTGAAACAACAAAATAAATGAGTTAACAATAGTTTCATTTAATATTGTTCACTGCTTTATGTTTGCATATACATTAATATTCTATGCTGAAATATGTATTTTGTCATAAAATGTAGTCATCACTTTTTTTAAATTAAAATCAACATAAACATTTAAAAACTTCTTTTCGTGAGATCTTTTTTAACTAAATATTGTATATTTTAATGTAAAAATGTTACATTTTTATCCAAAATCTTCTTATTGATGGTTTATTTTTAAATTTTTTGAAGAAGAGTAACACAAATTGTGGCTGTGCATAAACAAATAAATAGAAAACAACGTGATTATAATAGTTTATAAAATTATATATTTACTATAGATGAAATAATTTTTCATCATGTTTGATAACCCAGAGTAATATTTATTACATTTATTATTATTTACGTTTATTGAACTATCTGTTTGTGTATAAAATTGAAAAAATCTATAAAATTATGTGCTACAAATTTCACCTGAATAATCTATACTCATATTCACACATAGTCCATATACTCGTAGTATAATAATAGTCATAGGCAACGATATAATTTCAAAAATTGAAATTATTTTTATCTACATGGTAATTCGAAGAAAGGGTGTGAAGTGCTAAAATACAACTACTGTGAACACTGGATTTTATATAGAAATGTATTCAGGTACTACAAAAAAATATTTCAAAATCATTTTTAATACAAGTATGAAATATAATTCTATACCACTGTAAAGTAAAATTATTTAATTTTCATGATGTCCTATATTAAATAGCATTAAAATGCGTTGTCACGGTACACTCTTTTATCTCGAATTATTTATACTTATTCGATTTTAAAAGGGTATCTTATTATCATTTAATATTTTTTACAACGAAAATGCAAGCGTTTGTCGCAAGGCATCCTTATTTGACGGATTATATTCTAATTTTGTTTTTGGAAATAGAAATCACACCCTCTTTATAGTACATTATTGGTGCGTTGTAAAATGTACGCAATTATATATTCACAACTTGATAAAGAGAGTAAATCATTGATTTTGTATTACATCAAATTTAAATAATTCAAATACATGTAAATAAATTATTATAATTAATATTATAACTCGCCCATTCATATAAACACCGTCCATCTACAAACGAATGCTCCATTATTTTTATAACGCGATGGTAATTTTAAATGTTTTACTTCGTAATTTTCCATCTACTTCTCGTATACTCTGAACGGTATAGTTATATTCTCAGCAATCACCTGCACTTCGGCACTGTTTATGCAAGCACAGCCTATTTACATATATAATATAATCATCGTTTGCGTTTTTCCGCATTTTTTTTCTCCGGCATCATTTAAAATACACGTATTTATTAGATTTACGGCCAGAATGTTCACCATCTTCTTGTGGTACATCCGAACATAAATTCAATTATTCGTTGATTGGCTTGTAAAGGTTATTTAGTGATTACGGTAATGAAATGAAAATATTAATCTACACTGCAGCCTGAAACGAAGATGAGGAACGCAAAAGTTCTAGAATATCAGCTGGTATATTGTACTGGGATTATACTACAACAACGTTGATTAATGTGTTTATTAGTGTATGATGGTTATCCGATGTACAGAAATTTAAAATTAAAAGTTAGAAAATTATGATATAAACATGCAAAATAATCAAAAAAAAATAAAAACTTTAAACTATGTAATAATGTACATCATTCTATTGTAAAAGACTGCACAAATATTTTACATATAATACTCATATGTATGTAATTTTAAACCATTTCAAATAAATAAATAACGGTATCTTCGATACCCACGCGAACAACACAGGTTGAACAATAAATACTATTGACATTCAAAGGACTGGTCCAAGGTCCCATGTTGCCGCATGTCCCTATATAACAGGGACATACAACCTTTCCCCCAGCTCTTGATCATAAGTCGTCTGTACATACGCACGATCGTAAGATTAACGAGAGAGTTTATACGTGCGATTTATCTAACTTCTGATTATCATCTGTTCGACTTGTGTTCTTCGTACGAGTGTTAAAGAGTATCCGGTTCCAGTGCAATTAAATTTTGCATTTGTCCCTTTTTCAACTTCGCATCGATATCTGAAGGTCTAAGGAAAACAAGTAAGTGCTGCTTTATTTAGCTTGGCAGGCTGTACAATTGTGCTGATTGGCTCTCGAACCTTTATAACCCTGAAAGCCCTCCCTTAAATAAGGAGGAAGGTAACAACCCTTTAATATATCATAAACCCATCATTTATATCTTTCCGACATTACCTATTGCTTTGTATTTTTGGGTTATTACAATTAAAACAATCATTTTTAATTAATATGCGTGTATCAGTGGACTTTCTGTACGTAAATATTTTAATGTATTTCATGCGATTCAGTCGTTAAAAACATTAGTTTATAACGAAATATGCAGATTTTGGTTATGAGCACATGAATAGTTAAATTTTTGTGTTTTTAGATCAAACACAAAATCTCGGAATGAATAACGAAGAGGAGTGGAGACCCCGGAGACGTGGTTCCCAACTGTAAATATTTTTAATAATTTTTTTTTTTTTCATCCTTAAGCGCAATGCTTTGTTGGCGCCTCAGATATAAATTTCTTGATTCTATAAATGTTTTTTTACTACACAGGCCGGACATCAGTAACTTACGGTCAGCGGCCGAATGCAGAGGATCTCGAAATTCATTTTCTAACCGGAGCAGCGGAGACGGACAACAACTGCAACAGCAACCGCAACAACCACAGCAGCCGCAACCCGTCATCCAAGAAACCGAACAGAACGACACCATGCGCAGACAGCAATCGGTCGCTGGCGAGGACATAAAGATAGTCATACATGACGTGGACTTCGATCCGAACATCATGGGTAAGTCGCTTTGACAGATATAAGTTTTATTTTTTTGAGAAAGCGATGATAATATTACTATTTTACTTACTGGAAATGGACGACAACTGTATAGAAGCTATATTATAGCTTTATTTTTTGAAAAATAATTATTCGTATGTATATATATCAGGAACGTTGTTTAAAATTAATTTTTAGTTTTATTTATATCTTGTTGATTTTTTTTCGGGAATGTTAGTCGATTCTGGAATATTATCAAAAAAAATCAATACTATCTTTCATAACGTTCATGAACAGCTTTATACAGCTTGTTCTTAATATTTTTCCCGTACGAATTTGCTTGTACTCGTATAATGGTTCGCACAAATTATTCAATATTATAAACTAGTTAAAAAAATAAATATTTTAACAACTTAAAATGCTTAACAAACTTATCAGATTTAAACATACTGTTTTGTTAGGTAACAATAATTTTATCCTGAATTAGTTAATAGTACCAGGTAACTTTCTGGTAAAACGAAAAGCTGTACCTTTTGCAACTCAATCTTATTTAGACATTTTGTTCAACTAGAGATATTATTATAACTATTTTGATAACGAATAGATAATTTTACTATTAAACGATAAAAAATATATTTTATTTTATTGATGTATAATAATATAATATTATTATTATTCTTTAATGTAATAATTTATTGAGATAAAAAGGCATATTTTTGGTAATACAGATGAAATATTTGATATAATTATAAAGTAATCATAGTTGGTTCGTAAAATTGATTAATTTCATAACTAAAATTTTTAACTCTATTATTTCTTGTTTTTTTGCAATAATGATGTTTAGAGAAGCCAACGTTTTTTATTTAAAATGTTTATTATTATTATTAAAAGTTATTGTATTGTAAAGTGGTTATTGTAGTTATTGTAAAGTCATTTATGAAATTCATATACTGAAATTTTTGATAAAATAAAATTAGCATTTTTAATCAAATTATTTTACTGTCAATTTTTTTTTTTTTTTTTTTATAAAATTATGCGTATAAAATACCGATGACAAATTATAACTATATTTTAATCATATACATTTATAACGATTATTTTTATGCTGCACCAATTGTTCGTTATTAATTATACATTACATTTCTGTTTTTCTATCCTCATTCGTATATTTATAGATGAAATATAACATGTAGGGCAACATTAAACGAATGATGGATGACGATGATTATCGTAAATAATGAATAAAACAATAATTATTTTCAGTAAAATAAATAATTGATAAATATTTCCATAAATAAAAACATTTCGTTCGGAAACCACGTCGTCGGCGTGAACGATTTATAACAGAATGGATGGTTGTTATCACATGTCTAACTAAAAATCGGGATCACGAGTGCGTTATTTGTGAATCTGGTGCGAGGGTTACGATGTCGAACGCGCGCCGTTATGTTAAACCAAGCATGTTGAATAATAAAAGCTGGGAAAAAAGTAAATAAATAAATCGATTTCAATATGAAAATACGAGTACAATATTCTAAGTGTGGATGTGCATACAATATGAGAATGATTAAAACACAATGTGATTAAAATGTAATCATAGTACTAGTAGTATCGATATGGTGTTCCGAAGCAATGTATTTGAGGTCTTGTATAATAAACCGACCGAATACATAGTCATAGGCCGTCTGCGAAGATGAATGGATAAAAACTCGACCGCGCAGTGGCGCAGGAAAATTAATCGTTAACACTTGTAATATATCTCGTGTAGAGACCGTCGTTATTTCTAACAGCGTGTTTTACTCGGTATCGATTTTGATTCGTCGACGCGAGTTTCTCGTAAAGACAAAAAAATTAAACCATACCCGTTCAAGATAACCGGCTGCGTCTTTAGCGCGTACGCAAAACAATGTAATTGGAGAACAACGATATTATAATTATTATTATCGGCGCATAACATAACCGACTCGTTAATCTACGTATCGTGTCCGACGTACATTCCATACGAATAATTTAAAGCACTTTGAGTGGTCTCGTGCGAAACCCAAAAGATGATGAGATTTATTTTTGGTATTATTTTTTTAAGTTTTTTTTTTTTGTTTTCGATCACGATAATTTGTTATAGTCATAAAAACTAAAAAAATATATTAATTTTACTTTCAGACACATCATCATTTCGATGGTATCAATCAAAACCATTGAACCACTCGGTATGAGTTCTCGATTCAAGTAGTTTTTTTTTATTTATTTTTTTTTTTTTTTTTTAATGATATACGTGGCCACTACTTTTGATATTTATGAACAGATTTCAACAGGAACTTTTGCAAAAGGATCTTGATAAATTGCTGCTGGTTTATCGTTCGTCTCTATAGCATTAAATTTTTATACCCCGTTGGACATTTTTTATCGTTCGATACTCGATGGGATCAAAGACAAGGATATTATCAATATTTGTAACTCTTGCTCTTGGGGTCTAGGACCCGATTGTTATTTATAGCGATTGTTTCATTTCTAATACTACGTTATTTTATGTCAAATCCGACAAAAAAATTGTTTGGCTATTCACTTTATTGCTCGTAATCATGGTGAAATAAATGTGTATAAATAATAATAATTACTTTGTTCTCCGTTATTCGATAGAACTGAAATTACAAGTTTTTCGTGTACGAGCACAATATATTTTATTGGAAAAAAGACTCATAAGCATAAATGTATAAATAATGTATAAATTAAGAAGTAGAAAACAATTTATATTGAAATATTGAGAAATAAAACTTGAAATTTTACACGCATACTTATATTACTTACCAATTTAAAATGATTATATAGCGTACAGACGATTTTTCCTGACACTAATAACGTATTGTGTTTAATCAAGTTTATAAACATTTAGACGAATAATTATTATTCCTCCCAACTTATCTTAATTAGTTTTACAAAATTAATTAATTCGAATTGAATGCTCATAATTATGGTGGAAGAAGTAATTCACGGACAAATGTAAACGATATTTTGTAATGCGTATTTATCAAAACTGATTTCTCGTGCTCAATCGCCAACAGCTGTCAATTCGATTATAGCCATGTGGGGGTGTAGGGAAAAACAACAACTTTATTTTTTCTCTCTTAATCAAACTCTTGTATAACAGGTGGTTTTTATGACAAAAATATTTTATAACACTTTATTTGTTCGTACTCAATCCAATTCCTTTTTGTTCAAGTACTCACGCCTATATAGTTGTTGGTTCCACGCTGTTTATGGCATAATGTACAAGAGCACAAATTTCTCTAGCAAGCCTAAGACAATCTACTTTAGACAAGTACTTTACTCGCAAAACATAATAGAAATAACATAAGAGTGTACAGTAATTACCAGTTAAATTATTACCACGTTTACCGTGAGAGGTTCTGGCTTGTTCTCTGGACAGGATCTGTTGATTTAATATTTGCTGTTGTTATAAGGGTTCAACCCTACATAGTTTTCACAATAGCCTTTGACATTGAATAATATGAGGTGTAAATCAGTTTGAAGAAAAACATTCACATAATCTAAGAAATAATTTAATAAAAAAGTACACAGTAATAAAATGTGATTTTTATTCCATCTTGGAAGAAACCGCAATAGAGATATTTGTATTCGTGTATCATGGTTAAAAAAAATGTGAATCTTAGTTGTTTTATGGTAATATCACCGAATGTGAACTCACGGAACTTTTGTTAAAACAAAATTATTTAAGTTTCGTATGAGTTATTTTTTTGTAAATTTATATTAGATCGTTAATTATACGTATATTTATGATGTTAAAATGAGTAAACACTTTTATCGTGTTTGAAAAAAAAAATCCATTTCGTTATATTATATAATATATTCAATGAATAAACAATCATTTTCACTGCGATGACTTTTAAATTTAAATAGGTAGAAAATTATTTCTTATATCTACATATTTTATTTTTATTTTAAATTATTACTTTTTACCGTTGTATTATATAATACTTTTTACAGTCTATATAATTATTTGTAGTTTTCATTTATTAATAAATTATTTAATTGGCTTGTTGTAAAAATAAAAAATTTTGTATATGTATTTAATCAGCAAAATCGGACGAAGAAATAAATATTTACTCATTTTATATGAACGTACAAACACCAGGAACAGAAATTTACGTTTATAAATTATTTAATATTTTTTTTAATCACATCAATAATTTAGTTACTCGTACTCTTAGATGAGATTAGTGGTAGTTTGATTATTAATAAGGTCGAAAGGTTTTGCTTAGTAGTATAGAAAATATCGCGACTTCAAATGAGATAAAATAGAATGTTTAGACGTTTCAATTATGATCGATGACGAATTCCTGAACTTTTAATATACTTTCACCATATATGGTGAAAGTCAAACTATAATATAATCATTACTATAATATGAATTCTAGAGCAAGTAATCGAAATTATTTATTGTTAGCTTTAGTCGGTATGATTAAATTATATATTGACTTTCAATAAACTATTGATGTTTATCGTGTATAGCTTTTTTAATTTTATTTCCAATTAAATATTTTATATTTCTTTCTAACTAGAAAGAACATCTATAAATGTTCGATAACCATAAATTACTCTATTTTATTTACAACCTTCTTGCATTGGAATATGATACAAAGAAATAATAAATGACCATAAAGTGTTGTAGTTTTCAAACCTAAATTTCTCATTGTCTGTTAATTTTTGTAACTCTATTACAGTTCGAAGAAGATTTCTCTGTACCATTGTTTTATAATTAATCAATGTATACTTGAATTACTCTTATTTTTGTTTAATTTTTAAAAATAACACTTTTCACACATACTGGATTACAATATTACTGTTAATATTGTTGAACTAGTATAATGTCTAAAAGAGGTGATTATTACATACATTACATTAGTATACTATTATAAGCTTATAAAATGTTTCGGATACCAACAGAGAACATAGTGCATTAAAATTGTATAATAAATATTACAGAACCAACCATTACATCTGTAAGGAACTGACCCTTTTTATAAGTTTCTCATTAAATATTTAGCTATAGAATCGAATTAAATAAGATGGTACTACAACGAATAACCTATACTTTTAAAATTATACCAATAACTGAATAATGTGTTTCACTTGTCTCCTGGGAAACGTGCTTTGGAACATTAATTTATATTAAATCATTTAAACGTTGTAAAAAAACATTTTCTTATTGATTCCTCAAATTGTATAATATGCTTAACCAAATTTTTAACTTAACTCTTCTTAGAGAGGTTATTAAAGTATACGTCGAAGATAAGCCTTGTTTTCTAATTGTTTTCTGTTAAAACCGTTTATATATGTTCATATATTTGAACTTAATATTAAATAAAAGTACGTTTTTACAAAAGCGATGAACTATAGATTTATCTGAAAAGTAGATAATTTATTTTTTCCATTGGTATTGGTAATTGATAATTGGTATTAGTATTGTATTAATTCAAAGTGTTTTGCATTATGGTTATTCAACTATGGAGAACTCTCGATAATAAGAATAAAAATAAATATATTTATTTAACGTCTTTAACGCGATTTTTATCATCCGACGTAACCAAATAAAATTGAATATAAAATGTAAAATGGATAATGTTATAATTTAGGTACATAAAACTACTAACAATTGATGTGTAGTTGCATAGAATAAGTATAATATACTTATTTAGTATTTATGTATAATACTATAATTTTAGTATTGCTAAACTTGAATTATTTTCGAAAAATATCCGATTTGTCTTATTAAAGTTGTTTTTGAATTATTTATATTTATTTTTTTGATTTTTTTCTAGGTGTTCGATCGGGTTCTAAACGCAAAGTTATTTTAAAGCGTGATTTGACCGACAAAGCTCATCGAAGTAAGTACCAATACAATTTAATTATCTTATTAATTTTTCATTTATTACATCATTGAATTATATAAATGATAATTTAATAGCAATAAAAATTAGTGATTATTCTTGATTTCAAATGAAAATTTGGTATATGTAGTATGTACAAAAATAAGTTTTTCATGAGCTGTGTCTTTAAAGAACAAAATATTTGTCTTTTAATTTATTATATTAAGATTTTAATGAAAATTTAAACTCAATATACTCATTAATTAAATTAAATACCAATTACTAAAATATTTAACTAAGTACAAAGTTTAATGGAGTGTTTGAAATGGTTATATGTCATACTTACGAAATACATAGAAGAAAACTCTGATAAGAAACCAAAGTACGAAAACCATAATACCCTTATTGAAATACACATACACATGTAAATGAACAGTTTGATTTTATCGGTCAATAAGTGCACACATCCGTATAAAATACATCGCGTTATCAGCTACAAATTTCGTTGTACTGTATACAAGTATAATAATGTTATGAGATACGCGACATCATGGAATACGAGTACATGTTCGGCACCTCCGGTAATTTTCAAATAAGTTATAGTTGTCAATTTTATCGATACACGTAAACTAATATTTTATATGTAACAGTTAAAGTGCTGAATTCTGTTGTTATATGAAATAATTAGGTATCTAACAAATACCCGGTAATTTTATTTAAAATATGAAATAATACAAAACAATTATACTTTAAATAATTATTTAACAGAATATCGAGTTGTTCTATAAAATTTTAGTTTGATTTCTGTTTCAGTATAGAATACGTTTAAATTTAAAATGTATTATTATATTTTATTCTCACTAAATTAATTATAGCAACGGTTCTCGAACATTTTTTTCTCGTAGGTACCACTTGAGTATATTATCAATCAATCACGTACCACTAATGATTAAAAATAGAACCATACAAACTTTACATAGTTAAATACATTTATTTGAAATAAAAAGGCAGTAAAATATCACAGTAAAATTATTATTTAATTATTAGTACAAATTGATTATTGTTTTTTAATAAATGTATGAATTAAATATCAAATTTTTAATTTCTGTTCTACCATCATGCGGTCTTCCATGTACCACCATGTCTTTTGCGTACCATAGTTTAAGAACCGCTGAATTTTATTATTATTTTTTTTTACATGCAAGGTTATTGTGGCTTTTAAAGTTGCACAATACCTCTTTTGTCTATGCAAACGCACTGCTTTGTATCTATTGTTTTGGTACGAGTATACTTAAAAAAAAAAAAAAACTCCAGACTAGTTCCTAGTGACTGCAGTTTCCGTAGATCTTAATATAATACTTTAATTTGGTAAAATAACGATATTATTATTATATATAACATATTTTATATAATTTGATACAGTTAAGAAGTAAGCCCTGGGTTATGTACTGGGTATGTATACAGTTATTAGTATAAATTATATTAATTACATACACGTTTTAGTTTTATTCATAAATTAACTGATATAACACTTTAATTGTAATATACCAATATATGAAATATTATTATCTTATTATGTTATGTGTAATACATTAGTGTAATCGATATACTGTATTTTGACCGAATGAAATATTTATAAATATACCAACGAAAAAAAAATTGGATAACGCTTTTCCAGTCCTACTCTAAAATGTGTTTTAATTTTTTAAAGAATTATGACAATCTGATGGGGAGAGGGGGGGTAAAGATAATTGCTTTCGGAGCATTTTTTTTTAAGATTAATAGACTATAACAAACAACATAACTTAGGTAGTCGTGTAATATAAAATGTATTGTGTATATCAACGTATAATTTTTTTTTTTTTTATAATAATAAATAAATTACTATAATTACTTTTTATATAGATGTTAATTTAAATTTTAAAATTATTATTATTTTTAAAAAATCAAAAAATAGCTATACAATATAAGACAAATACATCAACCAAATTAAACAATAAACAGTTTAAATATCAACATAAGTTCACTAATTTTTTAAATGATGAATTGCTTGCAAAGGAATTAATACATTAAATTATCCGACTAGAATACATAAAGAATAAACATAATTTTCATCTAGAATTTCGCTTTTTTATTGAGAGAGGTTTTTTTATATTTTATGTGTACTAACATAGACATAAAATAATATTACGATTTATCATTTACCCAGATTAAATATCATCATAATGATTTTTAAAATTTCCCTATAGCTTGTTTCGTTCGAACAACTCAATGTCTATATCAGGGGTGGCCAACATGACTATGTACGCGAACCACATGTATTAATAAAATTATATCAAGAGCCAAATTATCTAATGTGTACTTTTATACCACAAAAGTAATAAAGATAGCAAACAGCCGATAAACATATCAAATTACGAAATATGAAATTATATCATTTTTAATATAGTCTGTAGTCTGTGTTGAATAGTCCTATTGTAAACACCTCAATTTATTTTGTAAAATATTTGTAATATTTAATAATTATATTTGTAATATTTTACCGATACTTATTGCGAAAGTTAGTTATGATTTCAATTTCTAATAAAGCGGTTAAACGTAAATATGAAGAAGAAAAACGGGAATTTAAATTAGAATGGGAAGAACTATACTTTTTATATATATATAGATATAGACTCTATATCGTCTTCTCGCGTTTTAATTATTTATGGATTTTATAAATTTAAATTTTTAATGTATATTAAACATATTTATTTTTTATTTGTAACTGATCGAGCATAAATTGTTTAAAATAATTTAATAAATAATAAACATTATTAAAATTTGGAAGATACGTTTTAAAATAATGAAATTATTGTTAGAATGAAAAATAATGCCATAAAAGAAATAAGTAAGATGAATAAAAACATAAGCCATTAAATAAATAAACCATATATGCTGTCTATCATTTTTATAATATCTAATTTTAACTGATGATTTTATGAAATATTTTTGACAAAGCAAAACAACAAAAAAATATATTTATAATTTTGAATTAATATTTTAATTTTTTAAATAATATTTTATTAAATCGCATTAAAAACGTATACAATTATACCTATTTCAATAAATTTGATTAGGTATGTTAGAGTAATAATAACGTATAACGTATTTTAATAACCACTATATACAATATACCATATGTCCTTATACAAATCGAATTTATCAAAATTCTCTTTAATTTTAAATGAAATTATCTATTAAGAGGAAAGTTTAGTTAGTGATAAACTCCAAAAATTCAATCATATGTACCCATGAACTCATACTGAAATTTTATCATGTATGTTAGTATATTGTTATTCATTGTATTTACAAATGTTTAAACACTGCATAATAAAGTTTTTTTTACTAAATATTTTCTATTATGACACACTAGGTGCGTAAAACAATAAAGTAGGATAATTTTATCTTCAAATTAGTATTTTTTAATATAGATTTAAAGTAGAAAAACATTTTTTTAAATTTATTTATTGATTTATATGTACACCAGTGGCGTATTTTAATTGTGAAAAGGGTGATTAATTTTGTGATTTTCTTTTACCCAATTATATTCTAATATTTTTATTGGACCAAAATTCATTTGGTAGGAAATAATGACATTTTTTATAAGGGTTTTATCGAGATTATAAAATTACTCAACATTATTATGATGTAAGAAAAAATCTTATTAAGTTACAGGAAATCTTCAATTGGTAATTATTAATTAAAACGCTTTACATTTCAATTACTAATGATAAGGACAAGGTATATATTTAACATTGTTTGATATACTTAAACTTAACTTTTATTAATTTTTTTTTTCATAATTATTCTCAAAATTATGCCAAAATTATACATTTGCTGTGTTAGCACCTAATTAAACTTAGTTCAAAGGTGTTAAAAATTATTAAAAATCCTACAGTATAAATCATGTTTTTACAATTCACCAATAAAATTATTATCAGCATTATTCATCGAGGTTACTTAAATAAATTGACTTTCTGAATAAATATCAACACTAATATAGTACGTAAGGAAAACCATTTGAAATTTATTTAGACAGACGAAACAGTTAAATGTAACTTGAAATATATACTAATTATGCTGCTTTCGACAGCAGGGTACATCGGAAAGATAAAATAACTTGAATAATTCGAATGACTAAAAAAACCCCTAGTGGGGCCTCGCTCAATTTGTTTGATTACTCGGTGTACAGGAATCTTGGTCGTTAAAATCGTCCCATTTACACTTAAAAGTTTTTTTTTTCTCTTCGAGCTGTCAAAGATAACTGTAATGACAAAGTTCCACGATGTTTTTTATTCTTTTTTCAGCTCGGGGATTTGGAATGAGAGTCGTGGGAGGTAAGATCGGCCCAGACGGACAGATGTTCGCATCGATTGTGTGGACCGTTCCGGGCGGCCCGGCCGAGAAATCTGGTCTTCAACAAGGAGATAAGGTAAATCCACAATGTCTCGATCGTTGGCGATAGCTTACACAAATCATTTCGTAGGTCCTAGAATGGGCTGGCATGTCGTTGGCCAATCGTAGTTTTGAAGAGGTGTGCAACATTATCGACCGTTCGGGTGACGTGGTGGAATTATTGGTGGAACAAGGATATGAATTGTAAGTATCGTTCCGTCCCGTCATGTCGCCCACAAGCCCTGTACACTTATCGTGTACACGATAGACACACTTCAGTTGACCATACAAAATTCTTCTGAATGTTTGCAGACGGATTTGTGACCTGCTCGATGAGCCCGGGCCGATGACGTCGAGAAAGAACTCTGGCGAAGCGATGGGTTTGCAACTAGGTTAGATTATTAATATAGTTTTCCGAACTTTTCACGTCCGTTCGTAAAAATAATACGTTTAATTTAACTAGAAAACATTATAATGGTAGAGCATCATCGGTTTAGTGATGGCACATTTCGCACTTGTTTATATATCCATCCCATGCAGCCCTACTCTCTATTAAAATATTTCCCGACGAGAACCGACGATAATGAAAACGTCGACGTATAGTGACGAGTTTGCCTTAATGAAATCGCACAGTGTTATTATTATTCGTTGAACCAACGGGGCAGAAGTGCAAAACATTCCTGACTGCGGAATTTATTAACGTAGTTTGGTACTCCCACGGAAAAATCACACCCTCGCAATTCCGCTATTCATCGTGTTATTAATACCCCTCGTCTCCACTCCATAAAACTTAACTTTAAAACTACACTGTTTTTATATTTTATCCTCGAATGATGTATGGGGACACAAAAAATACAAATAAAAATACATTAGTAAGTAAGAAATATAAGATACCTATATTGTGGAGGGATTTTTATAGAATTAAAGTTAAATAGGGTGACGTTATTAGAACTTTTCTTGAGGTTTGAGTGATAATTATATTTATTTGTAAATAAAAACAAAAACAATCGTTAAATCGACGTTTCAGATGGTTCAGACTCTCCGGCGTCCCCGACGAGAAGAAAACTACCTAAGACTCCGGTATAGAATTTAAACATTAACGGTGAATGTACAGTATAGTAGTTTCGATCCTTCAGAAATGTTATCTTGTGAATGGTTCATATTTTTAGACTTAAAAATCATACCATGATTTATCAGTATTCAAAAATTGTAACATATCTATTAACCGTGTGTTTTTATTATTATTTTATTTTATTTCTCTCAAATCTTAATGTAATACATTAATACGATATTTTTAGATATTCATAGGGTAAAAACAGATGATACGTATAATAATTATTACTATTTCAATATGTTTATTACCCATATAAATAAATAAATTCTACTATGATGACTATCAAATAACTTTGACGTTATTGCTTGTATAATATTAATTGTATATTTCTGAAGGACGATGTTAATTTTTCCTGTATGTTGATTTAAGTAGATAGTGCGTGCGTTTTGATTTGATTATGATTTTATTTCGTTATTTTGCCGGTATTATTTTTGTAAATAGGCCAGTTTACATCTACTTTTAATGTATAAGACCGTACTGATAAATTATGTAATATTAAATAAAAGATACAATAAATCAAATGGCTGCTTCTCAAAGGCTGTGCTACATCAGAACAATAATATATCGAAACCCCTGAATTCTCCCAAAGTTTCTTTGCTATGAACAATACTTTACATAACTACTACTCTCTTATTGTATGTAAGACTGAATTTTGTGTTTTCATTAGCAGTAGAAAAGAAAATATTAATTACAGACATATTCACCTAGCCTATATTATGTGATTTATATGTTCATAATTAAAATTATGATAACTGTATTTATATCAATTTATCACTTTGGAAAAATACTAAGTTTTATAGATATCAAAATAAATTATTGTAATTAATAACACTATTTACTCAGACAGTTCGTTTTACTAAAATATTTCTATTATAGTTTGATGTATTTAACGAATATTTTTAAGAAATCATTGTTAAATTTACTATTGTTAAAATATCATGTCTGTTAAACAAGGGTAATTTACATATATATACACGCGTATAAATATATACATATATTTAGTGTCTATACTATTGGTACATTATACTTAAATTTATTCGATACGTAATGTATAATATAATATAAAATATATATTATTTAAAGAAACAAATGTATGTATAATTCATAATAATTCATAGTATGTAAATAAGTCCAATATACTAGTACGTTAAGTTAAAGGAAAAGGATCCGTCGTTGGTATCTAAAAAAATTTTATGGTAAAAAGGTTTTAAAATATGAATAGAAATAATTTCTATTACGAATCTTAGTACATTGAAACGTCTTTAATTAAAATTAAAAAATGATTTGGTCATACTGACTTTCTGGTTAGTTTTTTATAACATCAAATACCTATTAAAAATTGTTAGAAACATAAAAAATTATCAATTTTATCTCCGAATTCATTGTTTTTTGTATTCTGCAATCTACATAAACATATATTATAAACTGAATTAAATATATCGAAAAAATATATTATTAGATATTACTTTTTGCACATTAATTGTAGCATTTTTCTTTGAAATCATATTGTACATTATGAAAAATTTATATTATTACAAAATAAAATACTAGAAAAAGTATTAGTTGTATATTTGTTGATAACAATTTTATATTAAATAATACATAATATATATGCTTAAATTAAATCTTATGGGACATAAGGTTTTAAAACATTTTCTTATTATGCAGTTATATTTTTTCCGTTTTGTTGAAAATGTATTAAAGTTATAATTTGGTTATTAATATTTGATGTGCCTCAATATAACATATGAATATAAACATAACTAAAACATTTAATTTTAAAGTTTAAAAAATATATCAAGATAAATATAATTATTTAAAAAATATTACACTACAAATAATTCAAAAATATTTGATTTATTTCTAATATTTATAACAATATATATTTTTTAATATGCTTTAAATTAACGAATCAATCGTATACTGATTTAAATATTTTAAAATTTTTTTTCTATTTCTCGTTGTTATCAGAATGGCTTTGGAGTGCACTTCACTGGCTTAACTTATTAATTTACAGTATTGTAATGAAGCATTTCAATAAGATTTATTAAGAATAAATCAGTTCGCTATCTTCTTACCGTGAAATTTACTTTTTATGCCATGTCATTGACTGCGACGGATTTCTTTTCCTTTTTTTAGACGATTGATTGATTTCATTCTATTTTTTTTTTTTTTTTAGTAAAATATACGATAATATTTAAATACATTTATTTGAGATGTACATCTTATTCAACCAAATGTGGTCTTTATCATGTATGATTAGCATTAATTTTAACATTAATGTTGACGAAATAATAGTTAAAACTTTAGTTTAGATTATCATAATAAAATATTGTTTTTGTTATACATAAAAAATTTAGGTACAAGTAATAAATACATATTAACTAATGTTATTGGCAGTATTTTTATTATTCCATGAAAAAAATTTAATTAATAATTATAATTGCATTTACTCAAATGTTTAATATTTAGACAAATATTCAGAACTATGTTTGTAAAAAAAAAAAAATAAATAAATAAATAAATACATTCCATTCCAGTAACGGATGATTTTATGTAGTTTTCGATGTCAAGCGTACCGATTAATAGAGAAAATATATCTACTGTTTTGAACAACTGTACGGGCAGCAGTAACTTGCAAGAGGACACAATTGGTCGGCCAGCTTTCTCCGTTAACTTATAATACATATAGTAATAAAAACTGTTAAAAAAAAAAAATTGAATATTAAGTAGTCGGAAGATTAAAATAACATATATATATATACACGTACACACACACGCACGTATATATTATATTGTATACTTGTGTGTTTGTGAGTATCACCGTTATTGGACACACCAAGCTCACCCTTGAACATGTAAGTTTTTTTGTTTTTCTTATACACCGTCATTTAAAACACACACATATATATATATATATATATATATATATATATATATATCTTCGTATAAATATTATGTATATGTATTTTACATACTTCACTCGATACGAAGAACTCACACCTTGCTTGTCACGCATCGAAGCAAATTATGACTAATTTTCTGGGGAACGATGAGTCCCGTTGTACTCTGTTGACTGCGTTCTGCTGTTTTCCCAATCGATTCTCGTTTCGCCCCCGGACGGGAAGTGACCGCGTAGGCTTTCACGTGCGCGGCGTGGGCCGGGTGGTGGAATGACACGATGGCGTAATAAACCGTTGCGGAAAATAAAAATAAAACAAATCGTTCCGTGCGAAACGGGATTGCTCGACCGTTCCAAACTCGCCTAGTGCAGCACGTGTCGCGCACGTTTCAAATGGTTACTGTACGCTATCCGATCCCCGCACGCAAGGCTATCATCGTTCGTCGTTTTCCGTCGCGAACCGAAATACACAGGGCCGTTCTTAAGGATTCTCAGAGCCTTCTTTGGCGAATTGGTTCGGGTCATCCCCCCTTAATTATCACAACGGTATACGAGTACGGCAAGGAACACGCGAACAGAGTTCGAAAACTGTCTGTGAAAATAGTTTTTTACTCTTCAACCGATCAAAGTCGTTTAAATGCATCGGTACAATGAATTACGTTTTTAATAACTTCTCAACAACGTTGTACGAGTAAACACATTTAATGCAAATTAAATTTATTCCTGGATAATTTGGGAAATTAAACACTTGGATGCCGTCGCGTCGACACTTGCGATAGCGAAGTTTCATGTAAATTTGAATGGAATTATGTCGCACTCTGGTAGTAACTATAATAAATTACATTTATAACTGTTTAGAAAAAAATTAATTTTATTTCAGTAATTTTGTTAATATTTCATAAAAAAAAAAAATAATACTACATGAGGATTCCTTTAAATTTTCTTAGACTAGGGCCTAGGGCGAAATGCCCCCATTGCCTCCTGCTTCCTTGCGACAACCCTGGGAATGCGTCAAGTCGATATTTTCCACACGGCGCACGAGCACGGCAAATGTTACTTGATCGATCATTTTTACGATTTTTCCAACTCGTTTTCATGAGCGTGTTTTGCACAATATAGTGTATTTTTTGTAGACGCACAGTATACTCGAACGGCGATTCGTTGTTTGGTTGCACTGGGACTCTGGAAAAAAAAAAACAACCGCTCGAAATGAGCGACCGAATGTTTTTTAAAAAAAAAAACACAAACAATACGTCATACTTTTTACGATATATTTGAAACGTTTAACTCGTAAAATATGATTTAATTTCGTAATGTGACATTTGCAAAGGAAAACGGCAATTCGCTTTTTAAATAATTGACCATAGTCATGGTTTGCTAAACTCCGTTATGCAACCATTCTTTGTATACTATTTTCAGCTTTTCGTCGTGTGCTTGACATGTAACGTACATTTTTTTCATACATATTACATATAATATAAAAACTACTTTTTTTTATTTATTTATTATTTTTTTTTTAATCATCTTGCAGCTTGTTATTCAATTACTTATTATTATTATTATTACTACGTCATATTATTATACTATTATACATGGATATTCATCCTTGTGATTGTTTTACACATTGTTTTACGCAAATTAAGTTAGGAACACATTTATTCACCTAATTTTAACATTAGGCCCTACACTGTTATATGTCTTAAGAACAATAATGTTTGTAATATACATATATTCCCATATTGTGTTGTTAGTTGTACGCAATCGTGCCAATACATCAATTACTATATTATCTTTCGAAATCATCGAAAGATTGTTTTTTTTTTTTTTGTTTATTTTTTTTTAATTTAAATATATTATACCATTAGTCACATAATTCATGTAACACCCATAGAATACGCATTTAATCCCACCCCATATAACAGCCTTTGAATTCATATTTTTGTACAAACACTTATATATGACGTGTATTTCTACTGACTATAGTTTTATACACCTATAGGTATATTAGTTAAGTTAGTTGTTTATTCACACCAAGTTTTGTACATTACTATATATATATATGCATATAACTACATTTACGATCATAAATACATAATATGTGTAGTCATATTTTTCAAATTGTTTGTATTTTTTATTTTATATATATTGCTTTAAGCATGAATGCTTCTCCATTTATTTCGTTACATAAAAAAAAAAATCATTATTCATTTGTAGAAATCGTTTTCATATTAGTTTGAAAATACACTGTAGCTTAATCTAGAAAAAAATCAATCTTATTGTTTTATTTATTTTATTTTGCATGAAATAATTCATTATTTTTCAAACAAATCAAACTTTTTTATCATCATAATGATATGAATTTATTTAAAATCGATTAGGAATATAAGCTCTCTTTTCTTTTCTATTACCACTATACTATTTTCTGCATGCATAATCTATAGTCATTATCATACAATTATTAAAATTGTACTTATAATATATGTTTATGTTATAAGATTATGGATTTTTTTAGACAACAGCCGTTGCTCAGGCGATCCCGGAAGATTCGATCCGAGAAAGAAATATTATTGGTGGTATTCAAATGCAAGTCTGGTACAGAGATGGAAAAAATGAATTGGCCATATCTGTTCTGGCAGCTAACGGTTTACAGATGAGAAACGACGCGGACTATGGTTCCTTGCCTGAAGCATATCTACAAATAAAGCTTCTACCGTTCACGTGAGTATAATAAAATTACTAAAATATCACAACTGCTAAAGCTCAATACCTTTCGAATAATATATTCACGGTATTCTCGAATCTACTGGAAATTATTTTGTATTTTAAGCTCGATAGCGTTTATTAAAGTATTTATCGTTTATATTTGATAAAATAAATGTACTTCACAATTAAACTATATAGATTTTTAATAGTTAAACCTATTAATTGTGTCGACTTTAACATCATACATGTCAGACACTTACGTTCAATCATAATTAATTAACTTATATGTTCATTATTTTACACGCATGTAATTGGGGAGGAAAAAAATCGAAAATAATTAACATATGAAAATCAAAAATGTATATTAATTATAAGTACCGGTCTGGAGAAGCAAATTAAATCAAAATCCAATAAAAAACTAATTTAAAAATGACTTTTTTTAAAAGTTCTATTTATTTAATAGTGGAACACGTTAAAATGTTTACACTTCTGAACATGTTATATTATTATATGTTAAAGTTTGAAAACGTGCATAAATGATTTCGATAAAAAATAATATTTTTTTGTGAATGTGTTTTATTTATTTTTTAATGAACACAGTATTGCATATTGTATACGCACATCATATGAGCACACGAAATTATCATTTAAATTTAATTATCTTTATTATGCTCTTGATTTTTTCCTTGTTTTATACTTTAATAGTAACTACTCTAAATTATATTCCTATAAACACATACGTTTAATGGTTTCCAGATGTCTATAACTATTAAGTAAGTTAATTACATGTTATGCCTTAAAGTTTCAATTCTATTGAAACGTTTTCTGTGATATTTGAATAGTATTTCAGTATAGTATGTTTAATTAATACGAGTTTAAACTTCCATTATAATGAATAACGAACCTTTGAGTTATAAATGACTGAAATTATTACTATAACGTATAAATGTACAAGAACCATAAGCAGGGACTATGCCATATAGAATATTAACTCCCAACTACAGACATTATTTTAACCAAGCTGCAGTTGATTCAAAAACTGATTAATGAAGTATTATTTCAATAAAATGAGATGGAGTGATTGAATTGTACTACTTAATGTTTTGAAAATAATTTACATGAGCAATTTTAAAATGAAGTAAGTTTACAAGTCACTTTGAAAATATCATATATGCATCATAATTTAAAATACCAATAAATATATAATACTTTAAAATTTAATTAAATGTATAGTATATTTGTATCATGGAAATTATTGATAAAAGTGATTAAAATATTTATAAAATATATATTAACAAATTCTTTTCGATAGATTTATGTCAACTTATTTTTATTTCATCATAAGACATTATTTTATACATTATTATAGGTACATAAGAAGATGAAAATAAATACTTATAAATAATGTAAATAATAGCTCCGGTGTTGAAGATTTTAAAGGATGCATATTTCTCTAGAACTAATACTACAGAAATTGAAAAATAATTAACGCTTTTGGCGTTCAAATTTTTTTATAAATTTACTATAACACAATATTTTCATTAAATCTACATTCAATATAGAAATTTTGTTCTGCTTACGAACTAGTTAATTTTACGCACGGATTTAATTGACGGACCATTGTTCATCCCTATCGACGCAAAATCAATGTATGTATTATTTTTTTTACCCACAGAAATCCAGAGACTTTTATACTATTCAAATATTATTAAATTAATTTAATTTAATTTCAACCTGGTGTCTACTATATATTATTTTATGCATCTTAAAAAATATCATAGCGTGGTTAGTTAATTAATAAAAAAGTTTATTTTATTTTATAAGAATATCTGTTCTTAATATAAATAAAATAAAAATGCACAACCCTCACATATTATGGTTTCAAATGTTATTAAAAAATATTACCGGCTTTTTATTTTACGGTAAATTTGTTTTATTGCCTTTAAATTATTCGTACATCGTTAAATATACGAAACACATTACAATTAAATTATTATATGTTAATAAACTCATAAGTATAACTATAACTCATCAGTTTTGAAAACTAAATAACAATAACTAAATGTAATTGAAAATATCGAGTATTATACGCTATGTAAGAGTAATTTGATATTAAACATTTTTGTTTCCATCACCATCAAGATTTAGAATTATTAGTTATATTTTTGATGTTTCCAAAAAAATTACATGATTTAAAAAAACAATTATAACTTTAATAAATTATCGTTACTTGTGTAATATTTAGCATAACAATATAAAAATTAGCTTATTTTTGATATACTATCTATTTTAAATTCTTATTCAAAATATAATTATCATACTAAAACACAGTTATAATATAATTTGCATATTATCTTATACCATAAGTTTTGTTCTCCATAATGTTATTGAATTATTTAAATGTGTTAATAATATTTTATTGTATGGTCATTTCTTCATAAAAAATATCAAAAATATGACATAAGTGTTCACCGAAATGTGAACTTTTAGTTATAAACAATGATATCGTATTCCATTCGAACAATAATTCAATGCATGTGTCGATTTTCTAGAACGTATTGTGTTTACAAACTTAATGTGTTCCAAAAATATCACTACAGACATGTTCAGTTGAAAAACTGTTACACAATAAAGATTTAATGATAAAAAAAAATAAAATAAAACACCGTTGTAATTAAGTTTATTAAATTAATGTCACTATTCTAACCGAAAGAATAATAATTGTATAAATCCCATTCACTTGGTTGAATTGATATTGTACAAGCGTATATTAATTTTTTCTGCTTTTCACAAAATCCTCTGGAATGAGTCGCTACCGAGTAGGATACAATGTTTATGTCTAAAGTCGTAGTCGCCGGTTGCCAGTTTTTTCTTTTTCTAGACGAGTCGATAGCTCAGAAAGAAGAAGCTGCTAATCCTCTCTCCACCTAACTTTGGCCACACAAATAAACCAATCCGAAAAAACTACCGTATTAAAATAATATCTAACTTTCATTGTCTTAAGTTGCCATAGCTTAATAAAAAAACTAAAAAAAAAAACTAATTGGTTGGTTAAAAAAATATAAATGATTTTAAAATATTTTTTCTGATCAAACAAAGATCAAATTAGATCTAATCCACTGTAATGTTATATTTATAATACTAAAAAAAAAAAAAATTGTCAGTAAATTAAAACCAGTGACTAAAGAACAAATACGTTTCTTTTAAAACTCAAAATTTAAAATCATGTCATATGCTGTCATTATCGTTATATTGTATCAAAAAGCTATTCACTTTGGTTGGAATATAAAATATTGGTATGATAACTACTCACTTCGTTCATTAATATGCACCAACACATTTTAAACACGGCGCAATACGCATGCAATATAGTAGCATTCGTGTCAATATTCCAATATTTAAAATGACTTATTTAAAGTACTTCTTGTGTTCGATTTCTTTCTGTTATAATGAAATCCTACGTAAAATATTTTACTATACATGAAAGTGTTTGTAAATAAGAATAACAAGGCAAAAATATTTAACAAAATTAAAAACCTGTCTTCTGAATAATGTATTTAGAATCGAACTAACATTTAACACTATTTTTAAAAATTATATACTGATTGAACAAAAGTTGTAATCGAATGAAACATTAAAATGTATTGTTATAAAGTTATAAACTAATTCTGTTATACAAAAATGAAGGTCTTCGAAATAACTTGCACTAAAAGGATAATGAATTTGCTGAGATACGAATTCTTAAGTGGGTTTATAAAAATAAATTAATAAAACAAATTAACTAAAATCAAATAAAAAAACTTAAGATGTAGATTACAAATAGTTTAGAATATCTGATATAATTATTGTACTCGGGTTGAAAATATTTCCTAGTTCCTAATACAATTATGATGGTTCTTCGATATTTCAGAGCAATCATTATAAAGCATGATAAATTAGTACATAATAATGTAAATAATAATTCTAAGTATAAGATGATTATTTTAAAATATTTTAATATTAAGTTTATGTCTGACAAATTAAAATTGTATATTTGAGATAAAAAATATAAAATAAAGAAAATTAAATTATTTATAATAACTTTTAAACTTGAAAGGCTAAATATCTACGGAATACTATGTATTAATAAGTTATTCCGTATTTCAAATACAATCTGGTTCGAGTTTTGGTACAGGATTGGAGCAATATTATTTATTATTCTTTATATTTATACTTAACTGCCTCTTTGAGTTCATTCCAACTTATAACGCAGGGTAACAGCAATATGTTATTAACTACTATAATTTATAGTTTTGTGTCAATTGTTTTTAATTATTCATGCAAAATAAAACATATTTTTAATTTTAAATTAATTCATTATATATATAGAAAGCTTTGTAATAAAATCCTGTTTTCATTTAAAATGAAAAAATCTGGGATATATCCTAAAATGTAATGAACAAAATTACAAAGTGTTTCTACAGTACTTATTTTACTTTAATTTTCAATATTTTTAATTACTATACATTTTATTTTTATGTATTTTAATTTCTGGTTAAAATAATTTGATAATTTTTGAAATTTTTTTTTTTTTAAATTTGATAAAACACTTTAAAATATTATGTTACCTAATATAGGTGCAATTATTATGTATATATAAATAAATTCTAACACCGGAGGATTATTATATCTGTTAAGTATACCTGGTTTTGAATTAAAAATTCATAAGTACATACAAAGTCAATAAAATCTTAATTTATGAATGATGAATTTTTAATTCGATATTGGTCGTACTCTACAAATGTAATAATACTCCAGGATAAGCATTTATTTATTTCTATATACAAACTATTTATTTTTATTTTATTATATATTAATTCACGAGTGTTAACTATTCACCAATTTTTATTTTAAATTTAAATTTTTATTATTTTATTATTTAAAAATATTGTTAATAAAGCCGATAATATAGTCAATGAAATGAGAAAATATGTACATATTTTTACCACGAAAATATATTTATTTGTCACAGCATTGTTGTATGTAGGGCAAAAATAACTTTTCGTTAGTTAAACTTTATTCAATTAAAACTATTTTTCCATTTGTGTTAATGATATAGTGTAGAGACAAATATCGTAAAGACCGAGATCGCAGAACCTTCACTGAACCCAATATGGAACACAACACTTGAAATGCCGAACGTTCGTTCAGAGACGTTAATTGAAAAACAAATGGAAGTTATACTGTACGATTATAGACCTGACAAAGAAGACGTGATATTGGGTAAGTAAATCATTATATATTTATACATTTTTATATATAAATGATTTAAGTTTGACTGACGCCGTAATGTTTCCAGGTGAATTCGTTGTAAACTTACAAAACACTCTTCTAGACAACGCAATGATATGGTATGAACTAGAATCGCCGAATCATAGTAAGGCCTCTAAATCACCCAGAAGCTCGATTTCGGACACGGGGAAAGGATTACGAAGCCAAATTCGTTCTGTATCAGGTATATTACGAGTTTTCTCCCGGTAAAAAACAAAAAAATTAACCATACGAGTATTTCAGAGGAACGTGAGCTCGATGGATTTTTGCATCCGGATCATGCGTACATGGCAAACTCTCGGCGAGGTTCTAGCCAGTCGGAACAATTAGACGTTGAACCGTATCAGTTAAACAAAGATTTTTCTAGATCATTGCCCGGTTCTCGTCGCAGCTCGTTCCAGTCTACCCAAAATACGGAAAAAGGTATATTTTTGTTTATTATATAATGTTTTTTTTTTTTTTTTCCCCGGGTTCCATGCATTAATTTCGCTAATTTTACAGATACCGAGCTAACATCAACTCCGTACACAAATCGAAGTCGTCGTAGAAGTTCGTGTACGCCTCGTCAAGATCCAGATGAGATTCTAAAAAATTTAAAAGCAGTTAAAGGAGAGTTACTCGGTCGCAGTATGAGCATCAGTGGAGATAAAAGAGGAATGCGAAGTAATTTCTCATGTTTTTATAATATTGTATATTTTAACAGTGGCTTGTTACGTAAAGTAAAATACATTTTATTCTCTTGAAAAGGAGGTAGCTTGTCAATCAGACCTCGAAATGATGCCGTTATGGAAAAACCCGAATCAACGTCATATTACGAAGACGAACCTGTTGGGTGCGTAATATGAATTATATAATCGATTGTATTAATCGTGTTACTTCAGTGTGCTTTATACAATTTGGTTTGATTAAATTTGTATTTGTATTTCAGTGACCCCATTCGTTTGGGCCCAGGCCAGATTATGCCACGAGGTTACGGTTTAATCTCAGGTAATGGTTTTTGAATATTGTGTGATTTGATAAATCAACTATGGCTAATTACATTTGACATCCAAAACAGGTTGCCATATTGAATTAAAACTAGGATTACTAATGACGAAAGGTCAACTGGAAGTAGACGTTGTCTGCGCGCGTGGTATCAGAGCTGAAGATTCACCACCAGGTATGCATAATTTTTCATTATACGGAACCGTCGTTTCGATAAATTAATTTATCAAACTTATGTAAAATAAAACATTTCACGACAACATTATATTCCGGAGAAAATCATCTTAGCCAAACCATCCCTAAAGATCCCTTGGCACGAATACTCTATGACAAAATACCTCACTTGATTATTATTTGTAAGTTCATGAATAGTTTTTTAAATTCACTCAATAAGCATGTTATACAATCAAACAAGTTAATTCAAAAATAGACATTCCCATGACATAATATTTTCTCTCCGAGAAAAACAATGATCAACTATTGTCATTATACACCTGTATATCACTGTTAGCGTTATTTCTGTATTTGAAGAATTAATTAATTCAAAACACTATATTAAGAATGGTGCAAATTCACAACTAATTACAGATTATTTTGAGAACACGTGGTTAGAGAGGTGCATGAGTAGCGTATTTGACGGGAGCACATAATATTACATAATACAATGTAATATCCCTTCAAATTGTAATAGTATGACCTGTATACAGGTATGAATATTATATTCATATTTCACTCTTCAAAAATGTAACAGAACAAAAAAAAGACTACATTAAAAAAAATGTGTGACTTATTTCTACTAGAAATACACATAATATAATTGTCAATACCAATACATTTTCAACGTCATGCAAAAAGTGTCCAAGTGAAACGTTTACTTTTTTGATAAACTACAATTCAGTATTCACAAAGAGGGTAAAAAGGGTATAAAGTAATTCATAAAAAAGGTCTAGAAAATCATACAATTTTTAACAATTTTTGCGTTATAAGATCCATAAAAAATTAAATAATTTTAAAACTGAATTGTCCAATTTTATATTTTATAATAATATAGGAAGTAGTTTAAAAATCTGAAAAAAATATAAGATAAAATTACCAAATGACATTTTACTAATTTTGTCAACAAATATTTTAAAATGTAAAACTATTATTTTTTATGATAAAACAAAACAATTTTTTTTTTTTTTAATTTGTGTTATTAAAAATAATCAGTTAAAATAATACAATGGAAACTTTTTTGTAAAAAAAGTAAATGCAATATAGAACTTGAAAAATAATGTAATAAACATAATATTATTTTTATAGCACTTTTGAGACGGATAATTTTGACTGTAAAAATGAAATCAAATAAAGTATTTTAATAATAATAAACAAGAGCTCAATAATATTATTACCACAGTAAATCGAAAAAAATAATAAATTTATTGTTTTTATAAAACTTAATATAAAAATAACAAAATGCAATATTTAGAAGAGCAAAATCGTATAATATAAGATTATATATACTAAAATATATTAATTAAAAGTTGTACATTTCTCATCTAATTTTTTGGCAGCAAATAACTCATACTTTCTTCTAATATATTTTCATAATTTATTATTACGTTTTCTTGAACAGATTTTTCGAAAGTTTTAAATTTCTGAACTATAAGTATTGATATTTTTAGGTTCAAATATTTATTTAATAATTTAAATTATAATTTTCTAAAAATAGAAGGAAGTAGGTAATTGAGCAAGTAAATTAATTTCCCTTTTCGATTAATTCTTGAACGTAAAACTCGTGAATTTTTTAAATTGATAACATTGGATCTAAATATTTTTGTTTTATATTAAACCGACAGTGGTGTGATTCAACTGTTGGAAACTTTTGTATGGGATTTTTTTATTGAATTTAATACCTTAGTACTTATATTATTAACTAATTCATTTTTTCCTCTATTATCAGTATAATTATGCATTATAGTAGTTTCGTTATACTCCTTAAAGCTTTATCAAAAGCTTAATTATGCCTTATTAACAGGGTCTTTAAAAAAAAAAAAAATGTTTGCAAGCACAAAGAAGAAAGTCATCTTTTAAATAATTTTATATTTTAGAGCATTGTTTATTATTTCTAAAATAAATGACATAGGCCTATTTGTTTAAGAAAATATTGAAAAAAACGTGTTAAGATAATATATATTTGCTGCGCATAATCAAGGGACCGACATTTCTTACATAATTTAATTCTATTATCCTCATCAAAACTTAACATATATTTTAACTTGCATATTGAACAGTCGATAGTTAATGGTCTTTTAAATTTAATTTTTTAGCACTAACATTTCGCTTCCGTTATCCCTGCTAACTTCGCCTCCATCTTAATAATTTATCATATTCTTTTACTTCCTCTTTAATTTTTTGTTCAATTTAAATGTCAATTTTTACATTTTTAAATGAAATTTCCTATACTAGAATACTTTCAATTCGTTTTTCAATAATTATATCATGCAAATCGGTTTTATACGTACGAAAACTTTGTGATTTTATTTAAAAATAATAATATCAATAATTGATAATGAAAAATAACACTGTGTCAATTTGGGGATTTTTACGTCGACATTTTCTTGTGAAAAAACTGTCCAACTACACTTGGTCATAATTTAATGTAATATTATTTATACGTAAAAAATTATGAAATATACTTGGACAGTTCTTTCTCGAAAAAAAATAATTTAAATATTTAGTCAAAATACAAAAACTCCTTACTGTTTTGGAGTTTTCATTTTATTTTCACAATGATGGAGGACTATAAGGATTAAAATGGTCATGTTATTAGACTTGTCACTTTTTGCATTTAGTCATGATGGTGACGATGTATGTTATCTATATACTTTATATATTTTTGTAAATAAAGTTGACTGTTAAAGTAAAAGATAGGTTTATAAATTGTTCATTAATTTAAAACGTGAATAAACTTAAAATTTGAAGATGACCTGATGAATACAAATACAGATAAGTTATGTTTTATGAATCGAACCTCAAATTAATGAAAAAGAAATTTCTTTAATATTATTTGAGTAAAAACCATTTGACAACAAACTTCATCTAATCTCGTTAACTCATTGAATTAAAATAGTGATATGAAATAGCAATAACTAATATGATGCTGATTATAATTTTTTTTTTTATTATTTCTGTTTAGATACTTACGTAAAAATGTATCTCCGAGAGAACGATCGCTGGTTGCAAAAACGTAAAACTCGCGTGGTCCGGCACAACTGCAATCCAGAATACAATCAAACACTTAGGTACTCTGCGTGTGACGTATTGGGAAGATCACTTCTAGTAATGCTTTGGGAGCGACAAAAAGGTTTCGAGCATAATCAAGGCCTTGGTGGTGCGGAAGTTACACTTGACGCTCTGAAGCTCACTCAGATTACTGAAGGATGGTATCCTCTTTTTCCCATACAAAGTTTGGGTTCAGACTCGAACGATTCTCCGTGACGCCATGCCGTGAAATGTCACTTATAAATAAATATTATGAACGCCCAAGTTCTGACATATTGGGAAATGGGAAATTCCATCATTCTCTTAAGATTGTTTTAACTCTGTAATTCAATCTTATAACGTATATATATATATAAATATTATCATTTCTGTATCTAATACTCTTACTTCCAAAAATCAGTGAAATTTTTAACTTCCAATAATGCAATGTATATTAATAATTTATAATATAGGAATAAAAAACACAAATTTATATATTAAAATTTGTTCGTATCTGGATTTATATTAATGTTTAATATGTTAAATGTTATTCAGGTACATAAATTTTATTTCTAATTCCAAATTAAATTCTCAATCTTATAACAATTATTTTAAAATTGAACTACATTATTACAGCACGTAATAATAATTTGATTAATAATTTTAATTCTGTCATTCCGTTTTTTCATTATACTTAGCTTTTTACATACCTGTTTCTATATTTCTTCCAACTATTACCAATGAACATTCGACATAAAATAAAAATATATTGTAAACTTCATATTGATATACATATTATGTAAGATTAAATTAAAATAAATATTTTATTAAAAAAAAAAAAAATTAAAATAATAACATACAGCAACTAAATCAGAAGGTAAAATAGTATAAAATAAAGATAAATCACTTTACCTATAGGAAAATATGTGCTAGATTTTAAGTGATATAATTTTAACAAAATTAAAATAACCAATGTTAATCATTAGATACTTCATCGTAATATTATAATAAAATATATAGATCACAAGTTTATTGTAATCCTATGTTGTATTTACTGTGAAGATATTTAGTATTGAAATACATAAAACTACAACCTAAAATAAGTTTATGAGTTCTATATGTATTCGCAGTACTGTATTTAGTATATAACGTGTATAATTTAATGTAATTATGCATACAGATAATCAAATAGTACCGTAAAAAACGATAAAGTTATTCGCTATAACAAAATAATAATAATAATATATCAAAATAATAACACAATAACACGCATTAGAACAGAAATAAATTATAGTTATAAAATATCTGCTATGAGTGACATAAAAAAAATAAATTATGTTCAAACCATAATATAAATATGGAACCATTTATTAGAAACAGAATGGTTGAATAATACATTGTCATAATTAATTCTATGCAATTAAACTATAAAAAAATATTGAGATTTATAATTATAAAACGTAATTAGAATAATATAATAATTATAATTATGGATAGTATTAGTTGCGATGTATACTTAATAGTGAAAAAATGTATGTTCACGTCATAATTTTATTTAATATATAAATATATATATTATAGTGAAATATACATGAACAAGTGTATGTTTCAGAAATCTTAAAGTTTATATATTTATACATATTTTTAAATTGTGTACATATGATTCCAAAAACTGTTTTTTGTTTAGTTGTTATCATTATACTTCAGTTTATTTTGTTCAATATTTTATAATAATTGAATTATTTAAATGAATTATTATTATTATTATTATTATTATTATTAACATTCCCATTAATTATTTAACATTTTTTACGCCTGTTTGTTTAGCTAACATAATATTGCCTTTAAAATATTCATATTTCTATAATGAATTGTTTAAAAAAAATATGTATTTTCTGACTATGTGCTAACGTTTAGTTTTTGATCCAAGGGCGGGCTAACATGAAGAACGAAAAAAAAAATAAATTATTAACTAATACAGTGATACAATAACATCGAATAAATTTTGTATTTTATTGACTGTTTATTGAAATGATTTTATCGAGACAATCGCATAAATATACGTACTAAATGTCTAATTTAATAATATATAATTAATATATATATATATATATATATATAGGTACCCTATACATAGTTAAAACACTAAGTTATTATTATAAAGCTAGTATTGTAATTTGTTTATTAAAATCAAAACGTTAAAAGTATATAACTTTTCTAGCATAAATGATTTGTTTGTAATCATCACTATTTATATGCATTTAGTGTATTGAGAGTATATTTTTGTTAGATACAATATATGCATTCAGTGATGCTTTATTGAGAAACATTTATGAAATTTTATTTTCAAATTCTCAGAGAATGTATCTCGAGTCAGTATAATTGATAAATGCTTATGATAATTACAATGGATGATTTTATTTTGTAATTAACTTTAAAAATTCATCTTTTGGGTTTTTAATGCGTAAATAACGAACAATAATAATAATTGAAATATTAATAACCCTAAACTATAAAATATTACCATGTATAAGTTTATTTGAGTATGTGTTTGTCTCATTGTATAAATATTGTAAAAAAAAAAAAGAAAGAATCATCATGATTCATCTTGTACTCGCTAGTCATAGATCAAATTTTACCAAACTAATTTGTAATTCATTTTTAAAAGTTACCATTTATTGTATTATATTTATATCTGTTTTCTACATTTTTGCTGAATGATGACGAATATTTTTTTTTTTAAATTTTTTTTTTCAATGTTTATTGTTTTAATGTTAATGATATAATATATAGAGTATTTCAAATTACTATATGATTAAATTCATGACAATCTTCATTCAAAACTACAGAATCAAAATATAAATATCTATATTATAGTATATTATATATATTATTATTATAGAAATTTATAGATTTATGTATAATTAAAATATCAGATCCGTTATTTATGTATATATACATATATTTAGCGTAAATATTAGTTGTTAGTAATTAAATATTTATCAAATAATAAATATGTTTTGAACAATTTTATATTTCACTGTCATTCGACCTTTTTCTTTTATTTCCTGTATTATAGTATACTGCATTTTAATTATATATTTAAAATTGATTTGTGATATTTATAATAAGCAAAACATTATGGTAGCATATTCATATAATTAAGAATATTATTAGATATGAATATATGTATATGTGTGATTGTGTGTGTGGGTGTGTAATATTTATTGTACTTAAAATTATCCACCACAGCAGTTTTTAATTTGCAACCTATGTAAGGAAATAAAATACATTTCAATGAGGCTTTTCCAAAAATGTAATACTCAATATTTAACATATTATTTTCAATATTGATGATTATACAATTATAAATGTAATATCAAAAGAAGAAAGTATTTGGTTGACAAATTTACTCCAAATCAAGAAGACATATTTTTGATTAATAAAAAGAAATTTTTACGAAAACAAAATCTGAGAAGTATTAAAATTATAAGTATCTGTGAATGGCACAAAAATGTATAAATTATTTCGAATATATTATAGTCTTAAAAGAACCATGATAACGCTCAGTGAAAATTTATTAATTTTTCGTTTTTATTTTTAAGTTAATATGAAATAATAAAATAGTAATAATGAATTAAAACACGTTTATTTTTATGTATTTTTTATTACGATTTCCCGCGAAGGTCTAATCCACACACAAAAGAGAAACAATGCTTTACAATGGTAATTTTTCAAATTAAAATTTACCATTGATACTAACTATCACTTATTTGTAGTTCATAGGTTTATTAAGTTATATATAATGAAATGTTCTCAAAAAATATACTTTCAATAAACATTAAATATTTTTAATTCTGCTAAACAATACAGTTTTATGTTAAATTATGAGACATATTTCTCTTATAATATTCTTCTTATAGTATTATCAATATTTCTAAGGGTTTGATGATGACATTTACCCACTTTATAAGCTGTCTCTCAATTCTTCCTAGCACTGAATTGGATCTCACGACGATGCAATCTGTGATTTCAACCACATCATTTATAACCGACCTTTCCTTCTTCCTAGTAATCTAACCTTTGGTTGCATCACTCTAATCTTCTTTTAAGCGCTCGCTCCATTCCCATCATTCATTCCATTATCACTTTCCTCAATTCATATAGCTTCGTTATTTTAAACTATATTTATACTTGCTGTTTAATAAATCTGTTTAAATTATTATATGTAAGACTTAATCTATTCACATTGTTATAATATTCAAAGACAAAACAAAATATTAAATCTAAAATAGTGGAAAAAATTACTAATAAATTTATCATAACACTTAATACGGTTTGAATCATATGTTATTATCCCCATACTCGTCATTCATTTCCCGCTCCCGGCTGTTACACCCGCTGGGAGATCATGTGTCAGAATGTTTATTATTTGAAATGGATGATAATAAATAATGAATAAATAATATTATACAAATATATATTATATAAATAAATAATAATAAATAAATAATGTTAAGACACGTTCGTACAGTGGCACTTGTGTACAATAAATAATTATTATTATCACTACAATTTATAAAACGTGTTTTTTTTTATAAATTGTAGTGATAATAATAATTATTTAGAACAAAAACATATAAAGAACAAATATGATTATATTTGTTCTTTCCTCATTAATTTGTAATTTTTTTTAATTTTTTTTTTTTTTCGTAAAATTTTGTTTTTATTATATTTTTATTATTAAAAAATGGTTCGTACGTAAATTAACGAGACAAGGAATATTAAAATTATTATAAAACTGAGAAGTTTTTGAATTACATATTTCAGATGGCGATGAAGAAGACAGAGCGGTTTATGGCAGTGCTTCTCAAAGGGGGCGATATCGCCCCACGGTGGGCAGTGAAGGAGTACCAAGGGATGGAGAGTTCGTTTCGGGTGGTTGGGGGTGAGCGGTAAGCTCGTTTTGGGCGATTAGTGGATGGTGAACTTTTTTTCCGTTCAAAGCAACGTACCAAAATTTATCTGTAATTGTTTTTCGTTTATCGATTTCTTAAATAAATTCGTGATTATGAAATATAAACTACATATACCAGTCACAGTGCGTTATTATTTAATAATAAAATAGAAGAAATCGACTAGACATTGTCAAAGGAAGAGACTTACACCTTCATCTCTTAAACTCTGAACTAAATATAAAAAAATTGGCATTGAATTGCCAAGCATTTCACTCATTAATACATTTCAAAACATTTAAATTATCCTTTTTAAATTATATTTAAACATACATTTTACATTTTATTTTTATTATATTTACATTTATATATGTATATTATTTATTATTAAATTATAAACATATTATGTATACTATTTTAATTTTTATTTTGATGAAGTGAAGGATGGGGGCATTGAAAAACATTTTGTATCTTAGGGGGGTGGCAATTTGAAAAAGGGTTGAGAAGCACTGGTTTATGGGGAAAATGATTTTCTGAGTGAA